TTTAGAGAAAAAATCGCGCGGTTATTGTTAAAAAAACAACACACAGTCCGTTCGACACTGCGTTACAGCCGTGACTGTCTGCGCCCCGAGCGCACCCCGAAATCGAGGCGCGTAGGTATAGCTCGCGTTTCGTCCGTTTGTATGAAGTTGGAGTACTGTATTATAACAGTACCGTGCCGTGGTTTTCCTTAAATAAGCTGCAGTAAATAAAGACAACAGTAAATACAGTTAAAGATGTATTCCAAGGTGTTACCAACGGTCGTACATAGATCCGTACAGCCCGATAACTCGAGCGAGAATGACCGAGTACGGTTTTTTTTTTTTTTGTGTGATGTATGGTTGTTGGCCTCGGATGGCCTCGACAACCTTGCCCGGGCTTTTCGGTGAGCGCAGAGGGCTCTCAACCGGTAAACCGAGTACGGGCAATGCAGTTCGTTTTTATAGGACGCATTGTTCGTGCACCTGTTCACATTATTTGTTAAAAATAATTCTGAGCTATTTAACTATCGTCAACGCATAAGACAAAAGGACAAATTGCACATAGTTGCCAGCAAGACACAGCTTCGCGTATATACAAAAATACTCGAGAGATATCTTATGTTGTTATACAGTTAAAGATTACATGACCGACAGGTCTTTGCTCCATTATATGTATATATATATATATATATAGAGGTACCTCCCCTAGTCATGATGTGTTCAGTCACGGTACTATTATAATACAGTAGTGTAACTCGGCCGCATGATAGAAATAAATGCCTACAGCCGCGCGGTACGTAAACATGCGTTAGGGCTGCCCGTCTCCAGCATTTTAATTATATTTGCCTACTTTCTGTTTCTATTTAGATTTGTGATTGTAAATATCCTTTTTATATAAATAAATGAAATACTTTGTATATTGAATAGGAAGTGTTCAATTTTTTATTTTTTTTATATTTTTTATTTTTTTTTTATTTATATTTTTACGCATTTGCGTGTTGTTTTTTGATTGATAGATTTAATTATTTTATTTTCTTTCTGCATTGGAGGAGTTTTTAGTGGTAGGTATATGTTATTATAGTAGCAGCAGAAACACTTTGTGAAAAATTCGAAAACTATCTAATGACACACAGAAGGTAAAAAAAAATTTCTAGTATTATTCATACACACAGATAATAAACAAATATTATTAAAAATAAAATACCACGTCTTTACTTTGAATTATGCAAAGTAACAAAACACACATGCACCGAAGTTTTAACACAAGCGTAAGTAGGTAGGTACCTACCGTATCATGATTCATTCAGAATCTCATATAACTACCTATTTCATTCGTCTCAATAACTTTCCGTTACTCTATTCGCTTTATTAATTAATCCAAACACCTTTTTTTCATAAGATAAAAGGAAATACTTATCCATAAAAAAGACACACATTATGTACCTACCTACTAGTAAGTAAAATTATTTTATAGTCTTACCTTTCAGAGTTTCCAGGTAATTAAAAAAAAAACCTTATGTCTGGATACGTTATTGACGAATTCATACAACCAAAAACAGCACAATATTTCCTACTCGTCATATTAGCTGATTTTTAGAGAAAAATAAATCGCGCGGTTATTGTTTAAAAAAAAACAACACACCGTCCGTTCGACACTGCGGTACAGCCGTGACTGTCTGCGCCCCGAGCGCACCCCGAGATCGAGGCGCGTAGGTATAGCTCGCGTTTCGTCCGTTTGTATGAAGTTGGAGTACTGTATTATAATTGTACCGTGGTTCAGTGTTCTCTACTCTTATTATTGTATGTCTACATTATTATTGCCTGTTTACAAATTCTGTTACAATGTGATCCATATTGACATTACAATTTTTTTTATTTATTGCATGTACCTATATTCTAATAATTTTATCTATTGTATGCCCAATGACGACCGGATGTCATAGTGGTTTCTGTGACGGACTGCTATTCGTAGGGCCCCGGGTTCGATTCCCGCTCAAGTCAAACATTTGTGTGCATGAACATTTAATGTTTGATTTGGTCTGGGTGTTTCTATGTATAATATGTATGTATTTACAAAAAAAAGTATACATGTATGTATCAGTTGTCTAGTAGCCATAGTACAAGCTCTGTTTAGTTTGGGACTAGATGGCGTTGTGTGAATGTAGGAAAATATGTATATTATATTATTATTTATTATTATTATTATATTAATGGGCGCAACATAGCCGGCCTAAATACCGAAAACTATATCATCTATATAATACATCTTGTGAACTATAATAAATACTAGCTGACCCTGCAAACGTTGTTTTGCTATTTACATTTTTTTATTTCTTAAAATCCGTTCTTAGCTGACCTCTACTCGGTGAAAAGAATATTCCTACCAAATTTCAAGTCTTTATCTCTAATGGTTCCAGAGATATCGTGATGAGTGACTATAATCGTGGAAATCTCTTATATATATATATAGATTACTATTATTACTAAGTAAAGTGTTGTATTTTCTTGTTGTGTTTAGATAATACGATTCTTCAAGTTATTTCTTAAAACTTTAATTTAAAAACTTTAATTATAACCCATTAGAATCTAATTTAAATCAATCAAATTATTTTATTAATCAAGGTAGTTTGTAGTTGGTACGATATACCGATATGCAATATTACGATAACAAGGCTTATTATGGTAAATTTACAAAAGCAATACTAATAAGAATTCTAATTCTCTCCACAACCAATGCAGTTTTTTTTAAACAAAATGTCGCGATATCATATTTTAATCCATTACAAGAAATCGATTATTATAATAAACAACATTTTTTTGTATCACGCGAAACAAATACGATTGAAACATTTAATTTTATTGTTATTGATGTTTGTGTTATGCGTGGAAATAGGTATTAATTAAAATGATTACTAACTAAGTTAATTTTGTAATGTATGACAGATATCAACTATAAAAATTTAACTTTTTTTTTTCCATTACTGTGAATTTAAACTTTCAACAATTTTAGCCGTGGGAGAGCCAAGCTACAGCGTATTTGGGCTGGCTCGATCGGAATGATTTCACGGTCTCTCAACAAACCGCTGTTAAGCATTTTTAAAGTGAAAATTTCTTCAGGCGCGTTGGGCATTTTTTTACAACAAACAAAGAAATGTATTTTATGGGTTAACAAAAAACACATTTTTTTTATGGTAAACGGTAAATGGGCAAACGAACAGACGGGTCACCTGATGGTAAGGTACTACCTCCGCCCATGGACACCTGCAACTCAAAAGTCAAAAGTGCGTTGCTACCCTTGGAGTCCCTCTCGCTCGAGTCAGCGGGAGTAGGGACTTGGGCTCTGGTAATCTTACTCACTCAGTGAAAGGTAACGAAAGAATTGCTTAACATCAAAGATGGGATGAGATAAATCCATTGAACTCACAACTGTTACCCGTACCGTTACCGACACCTCTGCTGTAGTAAAAATTTCTTTTTTTATGATTTTTTTGAGATAAAAAAACAATTGCACTCGCGACAACAAAAGCGAAAATAAAACAAAACAAAATAAGTATTTTTTGAGATCCGAAAAATCCATTGAACTAGCGAGACTGTTACCGTTACCGACCTCTGTATCCACATATATTGGCCCCGTTTACACGAGAGTTGAGTTTGGCTTGAAATACATTGACAATATAATTATATTGAAAATAAACATATTGTGTATATACGTACAAGATAGATATATATTCATGTCGGAACTTTTCAAATCGAGAAAAAACAAACATTTTCCTGTTATAATAACTAAAAAAAACAAGTTTTCAGTTCTGTCGGCACTCCCGCAGTTCCACTGTTTTTTTTCGTTGATTTTCACCGAATGAAAGTCGTAACTGGAGCCCAAGGACATTTAAGTTGCATAATGTATCCACGGGTCTTACCTACCTACTGATAACACATTCAGCTTTGAGCAGTTTTGGTGAGTTCTACAATTTGTGCCCTATGTAAAGTAGTACTCAAAACAGAACGAAAAAGGCAGTGCATCATTTTTATTTTGTTCCTTCTGAAAAAAGCTGCAGTAAATTAAAATGTATTTTAACGCCATCTAGACATGTCAAGCTAAACGGACACTTTTCATACAACTTACTGTACAACACAGAGATGGTTCTCCTTGCCTACCATAGCGACAGCTTAACTTAGCCCACAGAGTACAGTAATATTATTAGAGAGGGTACCTATGTTAAACTATGTTGAAACATTTAACAACTCAAACTTTCTTTCTTAAGGGAAGAAGATTCCCTTGCCAGGAATTTGCTTCACTAATCGGACTTCATATACGGTCTCTTTCTCTTATCTACAGTCACAAATGGCAAAAACTACTACTACTATTAGATATTATTATATTATTACAAAAACTACTAGTACTATTTATGTATTCTGAGAAAGTCATCTCATAGATAAAGACGGTGGAAGGAAAACCGCCATGCGGATCTTTTAGAATCCTCTTGAACCAAAAATGATTTCCCTCGATTCATACAGCTTTGAGTGCGGCCATAAACATCATAGTCCACGATCTAAAGATCGACTACACTTGATTAATAACATAATAGTAATTTATTGCTTAAAGTTAACCACGCAATAAGTAGAAGAACACACGATTATGTACTTCATTTAACAATAATAGTATTAGGTAGGTAGTATGCCAGTCAATTATATGAGTCTCTTTCTCCTCACACTAGATTACCTACATCACAAGTGACAAGACAAGAAGTATCGTTTCATAATTTACGTCAAAAACTCACATATAACGGAATGGAACGTCAAGTAAAAACATAGGTCAGAAATATTGTTTTGTGATCGAAACATGATGAAATGATAAAAACAGTTCACAATTTCGTCAGCAATCACCGCTCGACGCTCTTGCTTCCAGATTATGTATTAATTTATAATCAAAACCAAAGCTGATTATAATTGTAGATAAGAAACATTACCTAATTCATTATTAGTTTTAACTGCGAACGTTGTGGACGTAATCACTGCATAAAATGGCTAGTTTAGTAACGAAGAACACAACTTTGTTAATAAAATTAATAAAAAATGTGACAAATAATAGTAAAAGACTGTCGTCGCATTTTATTTATTACCCGGATAATGGAGTTCCAGTTGAAGGTAAAGAAAATTATTTTTCTATGTTTAGGCACTGATTTTGCTAACCTTTCGTCAATTTTGTTGTATGCTCAACTTAAATAATCAGTTCAGTTGATGTTACAATCATCTTGAAAACTTTTAGAAAGAAATTGTCATTCCATATTCTAATTTCTATTAACTTGAATTTATGACACTAAGCTGTCACTAACTTGATAAATGAGATAGCAGTATATAAATAAAACCTAAATAGTTATTAAATTATATATATATTGATAACACTACTTACCAGTAAAAAGACACTACAATGAACTTAAATGAATATAAACTTTTTTGAAGTTATAGATGAAAAAAGTGGTGTTGGAATTCATCATGTTATCCTTGCCTTCTCTTGCACTTCTTTAAAAAAAGTATATCCCTAGCTTAAAATGCTCAATTTAAAAACTGGTAGCCAGTATACTTAACAATAAAGATAATTTGATCAGTTATATGTTATAAGTTATTGCAAATTGCCATTTCCATTAACAATTTCAACCAAAACCTCCTTTCTAAGGAGAGGCCTATGTCCTGCAGTGAACTATTAAAGGCTGTTGATGATTGATAAGAATGATAATTGCCTCTTAACACCATACACTTTTTACATAGAACCTTAACATTGTATATCACATTAAATGACTGTAGTACATTTAGAGGTCAGTATTTGTTAATGTTTACAAAAACTGACCTTCAATTATGTACATTCAAACTAAAATAATAACTTGAGAGACGTAGTCCTTGGAAATTAAACTAATCAGAGTATACTAGTATATAATAACTACTAACTAGTATATAATACGCATATAAAGATTATACTGTAGAGTATACTACAATATGCATATTAATATATACACATATTATATGCATATTATAGATATATAGTTATATGCATATTATACATATATAGTTATATGCATATTATAGACGAACCACAAAATGAGACAAAACAAATAATTGATGATATTGTAATTTTTTGTAACTATAATAACCAAACTAATAATAAAATCATATTCATTACAATAATTTCATAATGGAAAAATATACATGAAACAACATGACTGCAGGGATAGGGAGCAGAGTATCTCTGCAGTTGTGTTGTGTCATGTACTCATGAACTACTAGGTTCAAGCGGTAACCTCGCCACTTCCTTCTGCACTGAGTGTTGTGGGATCGATCCCCACATGGGTCAATGCTATGTGTGATCCATAATTGTTGTTCTGAGTCTAGGTGTTCATTGTGTAAGTTACGTTATGTTTGTAAAGCTAACACTGGTTTTCATCACTCTATTTGGTTAATTGGCTTGGCTTGAAGACTTAACAAAAACAATAAAAATAATACTTTATAAAACATTTGGAAAATGAAGATATTTTCTTTTGTTGATATTAAAATCTAGCTCTATTTGTAGGTGAAACTGCCAAAATGAACATGATGCAGGCAATCAACAATGCTATGGACATCACACTCAAGAATGACCCAACGGCTGTGCTATTTGGTGAAGATGTTGGCTTTGGTGGAGTGTTCCGGTGTTCACTAGGACTTCAGGTATGTCTATATAATAGTTTTTGCATATGACTTGACCTGCTTTAGAGAGTAGAAGATTTATCCACAAACTCAAGTAAACATTTATATTTTTTAAATTTAATAAAGGTGTTATGTCAATAATGTACCAGTAATGACTGCACAGATAGCATAGAAGTTAAAGCAGTCACCTCGCTTCTTGATACTGCACTGAGTGTTCTGGGTTCTATTTCCACATGGGACAACACTTTGTGTTATCCACAAACTACAAAAACAACAAGATAAATATATATATAGCTATATCATATCTATAACATAACAAACAGAGAGACTCTCCTATTATATTTTTTGCTAGTCAACTTAGAAACCATCTCTGCTGGGTATAAAGATGGGTGCCAAGTTACAACAAGCTTTTTAAATATTTTAAATCTATAATTGTCATTTACCCAACAACTATTCACTATTAATGCGACTGACAGCCCTCTTTGCAGAGGATGTCTGAAATCAGAAGAAACGGTCACCCACGTAATCCGGTAATGCGAAGTAGTGGCCACACAACGGGCAAGCATCATTCCTGATACAAAATTGCTCCTAGAAGCCTGTTAACGCCCCAGGAGGCTTCTGTGCTTCTGGAAGGAGCTTGGTTGGCTCACCTACCCAACCTGTACTCCATGCATAAAGGACCACTCTTGAGACTAAAAGCGGGATATATAAATACCAATTGTCAAATTAATGATTGATAAAATACTCTCTAACTAAAAGTGGAGAGAACTAAATATTAGTAAGAGTCAGATCTATTTGTACAACTATACCAGAAAGGTCTTGATATCGTATTGTGTCTATTCCAGGAGAAATATGGCAAAGATAGAGTGTTTAATACACCGCTGTGTGAACAAGGCATTGCTGGCTTCGGCATTGGACTAGCTACAGCTGGTGCTACAGCCATAGCTGAAATACAGTTCGCAGACTACATCTTCCCAGCTTTTGATCAGGTTTGGTAATGTTTATTCACTGAAAACTAGAGATTACCAATAACATTTTTTTTATGCTTGTTAAATGTGCTTGAACTAACCTAATATTATCAGTGAAAACAATTAAGAAATACACTTTTCCCTGAATCATGCAAAAACAAGGAACCAAGGACAAATCTTGTGATTATTTTATTTTTTTAGCAGTTTCTTATTGAAGCGATCCAATAAGAAACGGTTGTTTTAGTTTGTAATAATTTCAGTGTTTAAAAATAAGGAAACATTGTTACAGTGATTCCATTCGTGTTAAGAGAATAGCGACGCATCGATCAAAGCCCGCACCCTGACCAATCAGATTCCTTGAAATTATTGTTTCGTACGAAAGCTTGAAACCTGATTGGTCAGGATACGAGGCTTAATGCTTCACTATTTTCTTAACGCGAACGGACTATAGTACCAGTATCGTTGAAGCTCTTGGTCGTCCCCAGATAGTGAACGAGGCGGCGAAGGCGCGCTACCGCTCGGGCGGGCAGTTCGCGTGCGGCGCGCTCACCGTGCGCAGCCCCTGCAGCGCCGTGGGGCACGGCGCGCTCTACCACTCGCAGAGCCCCGAGGCCTTCTTCGCGCACGCGCCCGGCCTGCGGGTAACTACACTTGCACCGACTCTGTATTATACCTAAGGGCGGTTCGGCCTACCACTCGAAGAGTCATGAGGCCATCTCACGCGCCCAGCGCCATAATACTTAAAAGGCCATTTTTTTTTTCAGGTGGTGGTACCCCGCGGTCCTATCACAGCGAAGGGTCTCCTCCTCTCGTGTATCAGAGAGCCAGACCCTTGCATATTCCTCGAACCCAAGATCTTGTACCGATCTGCCAACGAAGAAGTACCTGTCGGAGACTATACACTGCCTCTTGGGAAAGCACAGGTCTTAAGAGAAGGTTTGTAAAAGTTATTTTTTAACTTTTTTATTTCAATTATCATATGTTTTTTCTTATTATTATTTTTATTAGTAGTAAAAGACCACATTAGGAATTAGGAATTCCCGCATTAGGAATATATCCTGTGTCATGGGGAACTTTACTAACATACATGAAATGGACACAAAGAACACCCAGACTCAGAACAAAAATTTGTGGATCACACAAAGTGTCGTCCCATATGGGGATCGAACCAACAACACTCAGCGTAGTAGGAAGCGGCGTGGCGACCACTTAAACCACTATGCCATCCGTGCAGTCGAGTTTTTAACTAGAAATTTTCTTTAGACATAATACATAAAAAAATATAAATAAAATATAATAAACTTATTGTACACCAATTCAGGATATTATAGACAATAGTATTCCAAGTTAATGACCACGTACAAATGGCGGCCTTATCGCTAAAAAGCAATCTCTTACAGGCAACCTTTGAATGGACAAAGAGACTGTAAAAAAATTATGTGAACTTTTAACGACTTTTTGGTTTAGCTACAGTAGATTGCTTATATTGTGGCCATTGTATTTTCCTCAATATTCCTCCAATTAACAGATAGTGCAGCAGTAAAAAGACTAAAAGGTCAAACAGATAAATGTCGTCTTTAAATATTTCAAAGTGGTAGACGGAAAGGCCTATAAAGGAGAGGTCTATGTCCAGCAGTGGACTGCGATAGGCACTGATGACGAGACGGAATGGGTGGCTTCGTAATAACAAGATGTTTTGAAGGGCAGCTCTCCAACCTACTAACTGCATGTGATGTCAGTTTATATGTAAACTAGCTGACCCGCGCAACTTCGTCTGCGTCTCTCAATAGTAATAATTTTTCTCCGTTTTTGAAACATTCTTCATTGGTGCTCCGCTCCCATTGCTCTTAGCGTGATGATATATAGCCTATAGCCTTCCTCGTTAAATGGGCTATCTAACACTGAAAGATTTTTTCAAATCGGACCAGTAGTTCCTGAGATTAGCGCGTTCAAACAAACAAACTCTTCAGCTTTATAATATTAGTATAGATATCCTATAACTTATTGTATTGTTGTTGTTGGCAGGAGATGCAGCGACCCTAATCGCTTGGGGCACTCAGGTCCACGTGTTGCTGGAGGTCGCAGACATGGCTAAAGAGAAACTGGGAGTCATGTGTGACGTCATCGACTTACAATCCATCTTGCCCTGGGATGAGGAGACAGTTTGTAATGTAAGTTTGTTTGTAATTTCAAAATGAAGATAGGTATATTTCTCTAGAAATTGAGTGCTCCCTCGCCTGCAGTATCATTAGATTTTTAACAAATTTCATAACTGTTGGTTATTAATTTTGGTGGTGGCGGATTAAGAATACGGAGTGTTACCGACTAAGGGAGCAAACTACTCAGGACAACGCCACTGCAAAGAGAAGGAAAAACCCTTTTTTTACGCGGCCCCTCATTCCGTCGCCCCACCGGAGTTTACGGCGGGGTGGTGTGTCGGAATCGGACCGACTAAAACCACACGGTGTGCCACGCGCCTGTAACAGGAGGGATCCGGGAACAGCTGTTATTAAGACATCCGGACCCCTCCTAGCGCCGGCCCGCAACGGCGCGGGCACCACAGTACATTCTCTATTTAGGCGACGTCACGACACGTGGACCTCCTAGCGGCCGTGTGATGCAGGTACTCACCGAAGCAAAGATGCCCAGTGAGCACCTGCGTCAGTCGGTAGGTGACGCGACCTCCCTCCCTACCTACCCAAGCTTCGAGATTAGGAAGAACAGCACCGACAGCACGTTGGCGCGCATTCCGCAGCTGTTTGAGCCGCGCGCGCCTGTCGTTGAGCGTTCCGCCGCATTTCGAGCTCGTCCTGATTTTCCCCGCTATCACCCCGTGAGATCGTGCGAGTCTGACGATGCCGATGACAAGCACTGCGCAGCCGAGTGGGACTGTACCCAGCACACTCTGGAAGAATGCCCCGCGTGGGCTTCTGAACGCGAAGTCCTGGTCGGCCAAATTGGACGAGACCTGTCCCTGCCCGCAATTATTGCTGCCATGCTGGCGGATGAGAAGGGATGGGGCGCAGCGGGCTGTTTTTGTGAAGCTGTAATGCAGCAGAAAGAGACCGCTGAACGGGATCGGGAGAGGACCGATCCCGAACGTAGAGGACGTCGGCGACGATACCAGCCGTGGAGAGGGTCGCGGGCCGCCAGAGATTGGGTACATCTGGTGACAGATTGATTGCTGAGGTAGGGGATAGAATAGCAGCCTGATTACATTAAGATGCCATCGGGCCGCCACGCCGCGACTGAGGCGGGAAGTGTTTTCCCCTGGTATAGTGCCTGATTAGGCCTGGTGTCAATTCCTGGAGGACCTGAAATAACATGTTCCTGGTCCTCCCAGAGCAGGACATCTGAGGCCGGCCGTTCGGGGTGGTTTTTAGTGGAATCACCACATACTCCTGGCTCCTGAGTCCCCGAGGAGCAGGAGATCCGAAGGGATTTTCCACCCCGTCAACATAAAAATAATATTTGTGTGAAAGTCTGTGTCTAAACAGACTTTAGATACGGAGCACGACCCTCGGAGATGCAAGCTATTGTGTACTCTATACCACATTGCAATATTTTGTTTGATTTACAATGATGATGTTGTGTTCCAGTCGGTGAAGAAGACAGGCCGTTGTGTGATATCTCACGAGGCGCCTCTCACGTCCGGCTTCGGGGCTGAGATTGCAGCCACCGTGCAGGTACTTACAGTTAAATCTGTATTTTTTTTTAGTAAATTTGAAAATGGTTTTGGTACAGTTTAAAAAGAAATAGTATAGAATTAAGGTTTATGCCTAGCTGTTATCAAATCGTTCACTTTTAATATTAATTTGACAATAATTTAAAAGTAAAACTGCACATACATTGATCTTTTGTGTGCACATTCACTCATAAATTGCTTGTACCTACTCAAAATTGGTGACCCTTTTAAATTTTAAGAAAATTCTCTTCTTGGAAGAAAAATATTCTTTGAATTTGTATGAAAAGTGGGTGTTGAAAAATTTTGCATGATTTAGTTGTTAGTGTTGTTAGTGTTAGTGATTTAAAAGTTAGTGTTATTAAAGTCAGTGATACTAAAGTAATACATTAATAAGGTGGAAAACGAGTGTCGTCTTATGATAGTAATTACCGCAACTCTCGAATTGAAAAACCAGAGTCGTCCAAGCGTATTTTTTGTCCTATCCCAGACACGTACCGAGATTAAACGTATACCTAGAGCGTTTTGTCCATGAAGAAAGCAGTAATATTGTAGTTTTCCACCGTCATGCTTTTTCTTGTTAGCGAATGCCTGTAACCTGTGTGCGTACGTTTCCAGGAGCAATGTTTCCTGCACCTGGAGGCGCCGGTGTCCCGCGTGTGTGGCTGGGACGCGCCCTTCCCGCACGTGTTCGAGCCGCTCTACCTGCCCGACAAGTGGCGCTGCTACCAGGCACTCCTCGACACCCTGCACTACTAACCTACGACGGAGCCGTTATACCCTGTTAAGCAGAAAAGATCCATCTGACTTTGTGATAGTACAGAATACCTAATTGTACCAGGACAGAAATGCAACTCCACAAAGTCATTTAAATAAGTATCGACTCTCGCTCTAACGAAATAAAGTTCAAATCAGGTCTCACAATGCTAATCATCTTTGTTTGTCTGCCGCGGCACTCTCAGCTCTTCTGACAACGCCGAGGTCGAATTTTTTAACCTTCGACGTCCTATTGAAATGTTATAATGTTAATAATAATATGTTAATATAATATAATGATGCTTATTATTGATTAATTAAGCAGTTAAATACCTTAGGCTTTTACAATACTTGAGGGGTCTATCGTTGCAACGAGTCACGCCACTTACCGCCGAACTAACGCTCAGTATCCTATAAAATTGTCCCAACAAATCGAAGCCTCCGTTTCCTTGTACCTTAATACCCAAAATCGCATTATGGCTATGAAGCTACAAGTAAGCGGCGACTTCGATTTGTTAGACCTGTTAGTTGATTAAATTTGCTTGTTTGCCTGTTACACTTGCTTAAAAACTTAACTTATCATAGTTAAATTTTGAATAACCTTTAGATAAAATGGTTAAACGAGAACACAGAAAACTTGTATTTAATAAGTTACTATCTCACAGTAAAAAAGTTTTAAAATAACATAAATCACCAAATTATTTAATTTTTGTTGCTTAACAAGGTCGTATGGATTTCTATAGTACACACAGTGACAGTACATATTAAATGACTTGCCAGGGAACTCGACTAGATATTACGTATGTTGGGTTGTAATGAAGAATTAACACATTTAATTTATTATGACATATATTTTAGCATAACGGTACGCAACGCTCAAGCGAACAACACTCAATCTTCATTAATAGATAAGAATAGGCACACTTATATAACTAATATTGTTAATTTTCCTTTTCTATACAAATAAAATTGGAGTGTCTGTTTCTAATATAAAAATAACCGCTTTTTACTAAATGCATATGTATGTTTACACGGTACATATGCCAAAATAACATTTTTTACAATTTTTGTCTGTCTGTCTGTCTGTTTGTGCCGGGTAATCTCTGGAACGGCTGGACCGATTTCGACGGGACTCTCACTGACAGATAGCTGATGACATAAGGAGTAACTTAGGCTACTTCTTTTAGACTAGCTTCGCCCCGCGGCGTTGCCCGCGGTTATAACAACAAACGCGGGTAACACCGCGGGTCTCAGCCAGTTTGTGAATAAATCTCTAACCCTTTTCTAAGAACCCTAGAAGAGAAGGTGCATTTACATTCCAGACTTGTATACATCAACATTTAAAAAAAAAAGGTTCTTCTGTTGCTTCTTTTACACATATTATATTATGTGTAAAATTGTATGTATGTGTGTAATTAGAAGTTTTTTTTTATTTAGGGAGGAGATTGTTATCATGGCAGTGATCTGAGACTAGAAACTTGAAGCCATTGACATAAGAAATTGTAATACAACAATGATAATAATAAAAATTTATTTACTTAATTTGGCACAAAAATACATCATCAGCGTCACAAACACGTTATTCAGTATTTAATAAACTCTGGTACCCAGAATAAGATTCAACTAGTGTTTAGGGTACCAGCGTTCCCGGCATGCTAAAAACGTATTACGCCAGTGGTTCTATTGTGACAATGTAAATAAAACATACTAAAAAAAGACGTGTGGCACTCGGGGACTGCCGCGGTAAAGCTATTGCATAGCATTTTTATCAACTTATGCAATTATAATTATTTATTTATTTTATTTATGCAGTATTTTTTTTCCTTTGTTTTTTTTTTCTTTGATATTAATTCAAGTTACACTTTTTGAGCGTGGTGACCGATAAGAAAACTTTTTTTTCTTTTATTAAATAAATGAGAAGTTAATATTGTTCAAAATATTTTTATCATCTTACAATACATGTAGGTGCCACCTAGAGGCGAGTTGCTGAACTAAAGAGCCAAGCGTGATATTTCAAAAAAGTCATTAAAAGTTCTGCTATTCATCGATAGATGGCAAAACTAAAAAGTATCACGTAGACACCCTACGGGTTAGGTTATTTTCGTTACGGAATTTCTGGATTCGGTCTCCACGCTCAAGGCCCGCGATAGAAGCTATGCAATAGCTTAAAAGAATAGACAGTGTTAACTGTCAAGGTACAGTTTTATAAATAGTAACGCCCACTGAGGTATAGTTTGCTTGGAGTCCCTTTTGAGCTTAAGTTAAATTTTGATAATTTTATATTAAAATAAAACTATTAGACTATACATACATATTGTGCCTTATTGCATTGTAATGAAATTTTTAACTATGATAGTCAAAATATCTTTATTTCATATTTTTTTCAAAACTGACTGTGTCTTTTATGTAAGTCATAGATCAACCCACACAATAGCAACAATAGTTGTTGTCAAATACTTAGCAAATCATTACTGTAAGTTATTAATGATTTTAATTTTAAAAAGTTTTTTTGTTTGATTATTTCGTTTGTTGTAGTTGAGAGTATATAAAGTATATTTTTATAAATGTTATACGTATTGTTTATATAATACATTAAAATTGATTTGGAAAAAAAATCTGATCTATCATTCTCAATATTTTTGTTATAAATCTCTGTTACTAACATTCTCAATGTTTTTAGGGTTCCGTACCTCAAAAGGTAAAAAAGGAACCCTTATAAGCACCATTTTGTTCTCCGTCTGTCCGTGTGTCACCACCGATTTTCTCAGAAACGGGTAGACCTAGCAAGTTGAAATTTATACCAGATACTGAGGTCTATGGTCTCTATTAGGTGTATAAAAATCAAGGTCCCGAGTCAACACGATAAAAAATATCGCGAAAGTCTACGTAAAATCTGGGTAGGTACGGAACCCTCGGCGCACGACTTCGACTCGTACCTGACCGGTTTTTTTCTACAAGAGGAATTGAATTCCAAAAGAATAACATTATTTATTAGAGTTTATTTTATACTTTACCTATATATATAATATAAGTAAAGCTTGCAGCGAGGGTTCTCTATCAAATATTATTACAACATGAGAAACCTTTGACCTTTCGACTTTGTATGTTTTACAACACATAATAAATAAGGCAATCGTAATAATTAAAATCTTCAGTTGACAGATTTAATTATTTTTAGTATCTATATAAGTACTTAGGAGGTTTATTCTGACTTTTCAGATTTACCTCTTAAGTAGACTTAAGTATTATTTTACTGGTTGAGATCTTCCAGATCCGCATTTCAAAAATTACGTAGAAAAAAGGAGAGTGAATTTGTCAATGAATACCGGTAAAAACCTTTAATCGCGAGAGAGCCATGTTTCTTGACCCTCTGAGGGCCTAGTGTGTAAGTTGTTTTAACATCAAGTCGCTCTCGGCGTTGTGATTGGTCCGCGCTGAATGTTTCACCAATCGCAACGCCGATCGCTGGCACCGTGGCAATAGTCCCCCAAGTATATTATACTAGAATACAGTCAGTGACTCATATATTAGGTCTTTACCTATGAAATTGCCGTTTTGTATGCAATAAGTGAAAGTACTTATTTTTTCAAACATTTTTATTTCTGTTATTCGAAGTAATCACCCATGCAATCGACGCATCTTTGCCAACGCATTGGCCGTTTATTGATGCCCTTCTTTTTGTACTGCCTCTCGGGAATTGAATTTTTTACCCACTAAAAAGTTGTCTAAATTTTGGAAAAAGTAATAGTCGGTGCAAGGTCTGGTGAGTATGGCGGATGAGGGAGAGCTTCCAACCCCAGCTCTTGCAGCTTGGAGACTGTCTGTTGCGCAGTATGGGGTCCAGGCAGAATATAATTCAAAAGTAAAAATAAGGATATCGATGTGTTTAGATTAAGTTTACCTTCTTTTAAAAAGAAACTATTATTGTTAAGCTGAGATATATTTTATGTATAAGGACCTTTGTTTGTTTTATGTTGTAGATTTTTTAAATAGTTATTCTGTAAGAAAGTGTGTGTTCAAGTCTTTCTTTTTCTCTTCTTTTTTAAGTTAGGGGAAGCCTTACGCGCCCAACTCTCTTTTATTACTATGCTTTCCGTGGCAACCTGTAATTAAGGCAGCACTAATGGTTGTATATCACTGCCATTGTATCTCTTGCTTTTAAGGTGTATGTTCTTGTTGGTTGTCCAAATAAATAAATAAACTAGACTTGGACACGAGCGATTTTCGCCTACAAACATTTGTTTAAAAATTACATTAACTTACAAACTTTTAATTTTAAATATGCGTTTTCGTTGAGATTTGGATGTCTGATGAATTTTAAGTATAATAAAACACTTTGAGACGCCTAGACTGAAAATTACTCGTTATTAATCAATTTGATTTTTCGTACATTTTAACGATTATTCGTATTCAAGTGAATTTGAAGAGCCGCAACACTACAGTAAAGGACCTAACTACGTGACTTTGAAATGAAGTTTGAAAAATAAACATCTATTATGTAAAAATTGTTATTTTTTGCTGTTTCAAAAATTTAAATTAGTCATTAAAAATTGTATATCTTGCGACAAAATAAAAATAGCTACATAACTCCATGGTTTTACGGAAAAGGTTATTGAAATTGTGTGAGTTACGCCTATACAAAGTTGTTTCGTCTCGAAAAGTATGAAACGTCAAACGGTACCTCTTAGATTAGGTAGACTATAGTTTCTAAATACATACATATTATGGACTAGCTGGTACCCGCGACTTCTTTCGCGTGGAATTTGAAAAGCGCTGCCTTAGTGGGTTCGATTCCCGGACCGGGCATATTTTTAAAAAGGTTTTTGTGAGAGGAAAAATGACCTAAGTTACTCCTTATATAGACATCTACCTGGTACCTAGTTAAATATTATCTAAATCGGTCCAGTCGTTTAGAAGATTAGTCCAACAAACAGACAGAACAAAATTAAACTGGTTTTTAGGAATAGGTACCCTGCAAATAACCGTGTGAGCTTAAAAAAAAACCTATTATTTTGACATTACAAACAAACACTTCTATTTTATTTATTTGTATAGATGAATCTCACACAGAACCATAGAATAAATGATCGTACCCATTATACAATATTTGTACTAGGTGGAAACCGAACCCTCGATTTTTGTCTTACCAGTCAAGATCGCTAACTACTGGACCATCATCATCATCAACAGCTTTTAATAGTGCACTGCTGGACATACGCCTCTCCTTAGAAAGGAGGTTTTGGCCTACTATACCACGCTGACTAGACGGATTGGTACCTATTGGGTTTGTTTTCCTTCTCTTTGCAGTGCTGCTGTCTTGCTATAGTTTGCTTGTTTGTATAGTTTGCTTCCTTAATCGGCTTTTACGACACCCATGGGATGAATAGGGGTGGTGACAGTCTGTTTTCTTAATCCGTCGCCACACGGATAACTGGACTGGACCATCAGGCCAGGCAATATTAATGGGTTTGATTGAACTAAACGATTTTGGTTTTGGATAAAAACAAGTAGGTACTTATAATCAATTTATTAGAAAATGAAAATCAATCCATAAAAATAACTAGACAGTACGAACAGTGAAGTTAGTAGAAATACTTAAACAAAATGTCAATTTTATACCAAATTAAAACAATCTTAGTTATCTTTACGTTGTGCTGTCGCATCATTAAACTTAATAATATAAGAAAAAATAAATCAAATATGTGTATGCGTCGGTATACCCTACGAAACTTACCTCTACTTACAACTACCATTTTTTTAAACAATTTGTTCCAAAATCGTAAATACATTAACAAATATGAGCCATCGTGACTTCAAGTTATCAAAGAGTACAATTTAAACATGTATTTTGTGATGTAAAATATGTACAACAATCAGACTGAGCAGAATTTTTTACACACACAGTAATTCAAACCTAAGGCGTTATGATAAGACCAGCACCTACAAGGAAAGCAATCAGATCAGATACACTAGTCGGACAATTTAATTGACAAATACAAGAATTCACACAAGCTTACTGATACAATATCTAAGGGAGGGGTCCACATCTATACAATTAACACAGGTACAATATATTATTAAAATCACTGACATATGAGGCAAGACTCGTACGAGAAAGAAATTCATGAAGCTTTGAAATTACCAATACTACATTCATACATATTTAAAAAATGAATGAGAAAAGCACAAATGAACAAATATTATGCAGAACATTTATTATGAAAATATTAGAATGATAAAATTTTATTTGGATTCGAAATGCATTTCCACTTTCATCCTTCCATATGCGTTTACGTTGTCATAACCCAAAGAAATGCAAACTTCACAATCCATGAATGTGACTCACAATAAATAAAAAGCTTACAGATCAAGTTACGAAGTTTTGTAACGAGTAAAACATCCAGATGTGCCATGGTAGCACTATTCTACTAAGTATTTATTAATCCCAAGTGCGCCGCGGCCGAGTCATCCTCAAAAACGGGCCCACTGAGGGCGAGTTCGGGAACCTTTGCATGTAGCGTTCTAAACGCAAATACTTAACCGTAATTAACCTACCCTCATACCACCAACCATGCAAGCTCCTGTAAACAACCCCAGCATCTGTTGGCGAAGCACATTTCACGTAGACGCAACATGACGTCCTCTCAACATCGATATGTAGAATGTTACAATGGTCTCCACACTTCTCCAGAATTGCATCTTGAATAACAGATCTCAAGTTCGGATTGGCATCGTTCTTGTCAAACATATGTCGGATTTTAAGGCAGGGTGTTGGGGAGACGACAAGATTGTTGACAGAGCCCTCCTGAGTTTCGAAAGCCTGTCCCTGCCATGCAGCACTGCGCTTTGGGCTGCTATGAGCAGAGATCCATCTCCAAACACGGCAATCTTCACCATCAACAGACTGCACTTCCATACGGACTCTGCTTTCATTCCTCTGAATAAATTTAACAGCTGCATCCCAAACTGCTGCCATTTTCTCCCTGTTTTGAGGTGAAATCAAAGTGTCTCTAACATGATCAACAGATATGTATGGTTCCCCGCTATCCTCAGTCTCTTGAGAAATTACATCTATAATTTGTTCAACCATAGAGTAAATTTCCTCACTTTTCCTTTTTTTATAACTTACATAGTGCTTATAAGCTCTTTGCACACCTAATGCTAGTATTGTAAGTACAGCGACGACAATTAAAGTGGACCCAGCCGAATATAAAGTGTTTACAAACAAGCATGAAAGAGGAGTGGATGGATCAGTGAGTGTGATAGCAACAGTCCCTTTAGTCCGTTGTTGGACAATCATATCTGTGACTCTAATATTGGAAAACTCAACATCTTTGGTGTAAAGACTTTTGAGTTGAACAACATTGAGACCCCAGCGAGGATTGTTTATGATTAGAACTTGTAAGTTATTCAAGTCTGTGCGGCATTGACTCACATCAGCAGTTTCTGCTTTGGCACTGGCAATTTCTATTATTTCTCGTTCAGTCATATATGGAAGGGCCCCAGGCTGGCCACACTTGTATGAAGCTATCCGAGTCGTCAATTCCGGATGAATGACTTTTAGAAGATCTTTAGCATAACTTACTTGTTCTTTAGGGACACAGTTGACCCCTGGCCTGTTGCCCGGTATGTTCAACTGGCAGATTGGTATCACACTGTTCTGATCGTCTACCACTGATGTAATATCATTTTTCTTAACTATATACATAAAAAATAAGCAAAAAAAAAAAAGTGCTACTAACACAACAAGTGCAAGTGACACAAGATTATTCTTTAAGAATTTCTTGTCTGTTGTTTTATAGTCAGCAATATCAGACCTATTGAGACCAGAAATGTAAGACCTGCGTGGCAACACTGTGCTACCATTATTAGTGTCTCTATCAATGTAAGGTGTAGGTTTAGGAGGGTCCGATTTTAGTGATGATAGTCTTCTTGTAAAATTACTTAAGTAAGGAGATTCTATCTCATCAATAGTTGAAGTTGAGGGTTGATAAGTACTTCTTGAGAAATTTGTAGAATAATTACTAGCCGTTGGACGGTCTCCTAATGTTGAAGTCAAACCTAATCGTGACCGTATAGAATTGAGATTGTCAGATGATGTCATATTTGAGGAATAAGTCGATGTATAATTTGTTGGTATGATGGAAGCTCGAGAGAATATAGATGTCTTTGGGGGAGTAGTACCAACATCAACAGTGGGTAACGTACTGGAGATATAATCACTCGATCTAGAACTACTACGGAACGGACTAGATGTCTTTTTGTCGGCATCTACATCACTGTCTGAGCCTGTCTCGTAGTCATCCTGGTCGTTTGCTGCGTAAGTGCGTGTTACTCGACGAGTAGTGACAGTTTCAACCTCCTCGCGTGTACTCAAACCAGACCTATCTTTTTCTTCATCAGACTCAGAGCCTTTATCAGAGTCTCGTTTAGCGGGAGAGTCTTTTTTAATGGGAACTCGGCGAGTCTTATTAGCGGCTGGCGGTAGCATTGCCCCGCCAGTTGTGGCTCGACGGCCACGTTTCTCTTTAGCATTGGCTGTTGTGTCTAAATCAGACTCTTCGCCGCTCGAGTAGCGTGCGAGAGACCGCCTGTTGTCAACTTTGTTATCGACGCTACTTCTAGGCTTACTCTTGTTGTCAAGTACTAATTTCAACTTTTTCACGAGCAACTTTCGTGTGGAAGCTGTAATAGGCATTACTGGAAACCCATGCTCGGCAAGTTTTGTCCGCAGCTCTGCATCTGACATTGAGTCGACTTGATCGGCCATTGTGAAGTCTGGAAGCACAATATTACAGGTTATTCACATTTACACTCACTAAAACACTGTTTATGTAACGCTATTTGTGATCATTCACCTTATTTTCGAGATATGCACGGAAGAATTACGTCAAATTTATATTAAAATTCACCGGCGCGTCATGTCGCACGCACCGCTAAAGAACGTCGTTATTTAGTGTTGCCAAAATATTATTTAAAGTCCATTTACAATCACTGTGAGAAAAAAGTATCAAATGTCTTAGCTTTTTAGGTGTTATGATATTTTTTTTCAATTAATAACAACATGTTTTTCTAACGTGTTACACTTTATGTTACGTAAATCATTGCAATTTTAAAAACTCTAAAGATGAAATAACAATAAGACGATACTCTCGTACATTGCACTTATTGTTTATGGTATTGAGTTGTGATGGGTTATTAAAATTAGTAAATAATAAAAAAATAAGTAATAATACCTACAAAATGCAACATGAATAACAATAAGAATAAACTAAATCAACAGAAAAATCATAACAGTAACTTGACACTTACTATTTGGGCATTCACTTGTATGCATGCATTATCTATGTTTGTGTAGGCTAGTTGACAAAATTTCAATAACTGCTTAATATTTTAGCTTATTAGGCATTTTATCGAAAAAAAAGGTTTATTTATTTTTAATCGAGCGTTTACATTATAAATTTCGCGTTTTAAAAAACCAATTTCAATTTGGTTCCAAAACGCACAAGACTGTCATGGCGTCTTGAATGACGTCACGCCGTGCGAAACAAACCAAAGAGCGATCGTGTCTTCGTACGTTATAGCTAGTTTTTATCGTTTAAAAATGAATTTCTCATATTATAAGTACTGTATAGTGCCCCAGTGTGATAGCACGACTATAAAAACGCCAAACAAGTTATTTATATATGTTCCAAACAATGGAAAAATACGGAAAAAGTGGCTAAAACTTGCAAGAAGAGATGATGCTCATACTTTATCAACAGGTTCAAGAATGTATTTTTGTGAAGATCATTTTGATGTAAGTATTTCACACAATACAATCTATTACTTAATTCGAGCAAACTAGATGTGTTTTGTAGAATCCCTATTTTCTAAATAATAAATACATGAGTTCAGGTTAAGTTGTTTCACTTTTAGGAGTGAATGAACGTTTTATTTTAGTTTTCTAATTAATGTTACAAACATACTCTTTTTATTATTCTAGTTGCCAAATGATATGTTTAGTTATATGGAGTATCATATGAAGGGAACAGTATCACAAGTGCGCATGAAACCAGGTTGTATGCCAAGTAAATTTGGATGTCAAGAAGACAGAAGAAAACGAACATGCAGCAGTACAGAACGGCCATATATTCTAAAAAAACAAAGAAAGATGATAATAGAAGAGTGTCTGAATGAATCAAAAGAAAGTTGTACTCCAAGTTGTTCTCCAATCCAGATTCCATGGTTAATTCTTTCAAATTATAATTATCAAAAACTGTATCAACTTGATATTAATTGTTAAAAACCAAAATTTTATCAAGAACAGGTAGTGATACTCGAAACGTCAAAGACAAGATTGGAGTTTCGCACGGCGTGACGTAACGCTTTCTGATTGGTGTTCACTGTCACGTGACTAAAGGTTTCATTTTACGAAATTTATTTTTAAAAAATATTATTAATCTTTAACGCTTTTAATAATTAAAATTGTTTGTTATTTTCTCCATAATATAATTAATCATTATAAACCCCTATCCATTATATTTATTCTTAATGGACACAAGCCTATTATGCAGGGAAGTAGTGTTGTGAAGACGCAAGTATTTTAGTCTTAATTTCAAGACTGAGTCCGATTTCTCAGAACTCAAGACTAAATATTCTCAGTGTTAAGACTAACTTACTATAACTGAGTCTGGACTTATGAAATGTTCGCTTTAAGTCACGAGCTATATTACAGGAGACTCGAGTCAAATCTAAAAGACTCACACACCAGTCTCTTTTGACAGTGAGTCTGAAGTCCTAAACTATAAGAAGTTGCAGTGTTATGAAATCTTGAGTCCTAAATCCTTGATAAACAAGATTGGCTTGATTTATTTTTATATTAACCTCAGAAAGTACTCACGATTGAGTTCTTTTCTGTGAATTGAATTTTGTGATAACAATATACAGAAGTAATAGGTTATCTGGCAAGGACATGTCTTGCGGAGGGATGAGAAAAATGTAGAGAAGGATGTGTTAGGTATAGGAGTTGAAGGATACAAGAGAAGAGCTGCTTCTGAGGTTGCTGGCTGCTTGCTTTTTGGGCTGCAATAATCCGTAACGTTAGCCATAGATGTTCGTATGGTAACCAGAACCGACGCGGCGATGTCAAAACATGCTCACTGCAGCACTGAGGGATCTCAATGTGTTACGAAATGTTCACCCATCCATGGATTGACCTGGCTAGGCTTGCTTAATTTTGCAATGTGTTATCCAACTCGGTTACCACTAAGCCACAAGCCTTCTTATTTCTCGTAGACAGTAACAAAAATATATATTTAAAAAATGTTAAGTCGCGATAATAAGCACATTGAAGCTCTTATTGTCTTATTTCCCAACCGGATTCGACGTTTACTAAGATTTCAGCATCTGCATTTCCAGATTTAATTATTTGTGGATGGTAGCGCACTTCGAAATTCAAATAAATTTTATTCGAAAGTCATGGTATTTTAATTTAACATTCACTCATTTGTTTTAAATAGTGTTCTGTTTTGTAAAATTGTGGTAGTTTTTGGCGCCATGGATATATTGAAAATTCGTACAATTTTCGAATATAAGTTCCTACGCGGAAATACCACTTCGAAAAGAACACGAAACAATAACGACGTGTACGGGCCTAACACTGCTTGCATAAATGTGGTCCATTATTGGTTGAATCGTTTTAGATACGGAATTTTTTGAGTTTAAGAGCTAGCCTTGCGGTCGGCCAGTAACTATAGACGACAACGACGAATTGGAGGTTATAGTGGAAGCGGATCCAACTCAATTTATGGCTGAGCTTGCTGCGGGCCATGGAGTTAGTGTTAAACAACATTGAAGCACTTGTGTCAAATCGGAAAGATTAAAAAAGCTAGATGAGTGGGTGCCACACGAACTAAGCGACGATCAGGGAGGCTTACACTTCGAAACGTGCATAGCACTACCGAATACGAGGGAATGCTTAATCGAATTGTTACCTGCGATGAAAAGTAGATCCTGTACGACAACCCAAAAATCCCCCATAGGAAAATAATGGAGACTGTCTGGTGGACTTCGCAGCTTTTTATCGAATGGCACAACAGTGATGGCAAATGTCTATTGCTAAAAAATGCAAGCAATGATGAAGAAGCTCGCAATTCAACATCCACGACTGTTCAATTGCTATTCCCCATTGCTTTTTCACGACAACGCGCTAGCTCACATTTCACGATATAGCAAAGCTAAGAGAGTTACAGTTGGAAGCTTTCCATCACTTACCGTACTCACCAGACCTTACCCCAACAGATTTCTACTTTTTATCATAATTTTATCAATTTTTAATTGGAAAAAAAATTAAATACCTGAGAGACAATACAGTAACTATTAGTATTGTTTCTGATATTTTCGATAAGAATAAAATATTATTGTGTCGTGTATGTTACATGTTAACAGGAGATCGAGGTACAAGTTGTACCTTTCTAGTAATACCTACTATTGTACTCTGTGGTTGTACCTCTATTTTCGTACGAGTGTCTGCAGATGCTATGCCGTTGACATAAATAATGGTCGTGCATTTGAAGCATAACCAACACTTTGAAGGTTGTTTGTCATCTTCGTAAAATGAAATTTGAAGAAAAGAACTCCAAAGTAACTAGTAGTAGTGGTTTAAGCGGTCATCTCGCCCCTTTCTACTGCGTTTAGTGTTGTGGGTCCGATCCCCTGTGTCAGTTTCCATGTATGTTTGTAAAGTCCCCCGCGACACAGGATATATTCCTAGTGCGGGAGTTGTCTTTTCAAAAAAAAAATAGTATAATAAGACTACTAAATTAAGAAAAATATAAACAACTTTATTATAGTTAGTTTAGTATAGTTGTGGATAAAACATTTTTTTCTGAGTTTTATTTAGTACTTATGATCCCTTTTATAAGCATATTAAAAAGAGACTAAGAAAATAAAAAGAAGAAATGAATACAAAAACAGATAAAAATAGAAAAAACGCAGGACTTTTATAATAATCAAGTGTAGTGTTAAGTTGCTCGCTTTTCGTTTTTTCTTTAAGCGTTTTTGTTAGAGCTGAATGTAGTGCCTCTTTCATTAACACTGTGGTGAATTCTACAACAATCGATGCTGAACTTTCTTCACTGTTTTCTCTGTAAGCATCTCTAATATTAGACATTTCGATACGAATACCCACTGATTTACCCAGCTTAATAATACATTTACATAAATCTTCTTTGGTTTCAAATTCATATTTGTTAACTTTGGGAATGTTTCTCAGTTTCATTGTAGATGAAGATAATCTGCGTTCTAATATATCCAACTTCTTTTGTAGTCTCTGAATGTTTTCCTCACCATCTCTTTTTTCAGCATCTGTTTTTTGTAGTCGGAGAAGTACTTCGTCGTATTTTGACGATAAATTATTAACAGTTTTGTAAGTATCGCCTTTTCCACTTTTATACGATTCACATTTGATAGTAACTCTTCAAACTGTTTCTCTCGCTGATCATACAGCAACTGACACACGTCATCTTTTGTACTCTGAAGGCTGGCAATCAGGTCATTAAAACGTTTGTCCTGCTGATTTGATAATTCTTGAAACATATTTTGCCTCGTTGAGTTAAGATTAGTCAGCAGTTCTTTAAAACATTTTTCTTGCTGAATCGAGACTGTCTGGTATATTTCTTGCCTAGCACAATTCAGGTCAGTCAATAATTCCCGGAAGCGTACTTCCTGCTGATTCGATAAGTTCTGGAACATGTCTTGCCTTGTAGTGTTAATGTTTGTTAACATTTCACGAAAGCGTTTGTCTTGCTGACTGCTAAATGTCTGGAACATGTCAATTATATTCTTTTCATAATCATCCATATTCCTCATGTTACAGTCTTTGGTTCGTGATGGCAATTGATCCAGTGTTGCTGGAGTATCATTATTATACAATAAAGGATTCTTGTTTGCTTCAGGCTCAAAAGATGGTCTAAATTGTTCAGTAGTAGTTTTCCTATCAATTCCAAATATATTAATATCAGCCTCTGAGACACTAGACTTCAACGAAGACAGGTTAGGAGCGAATTTATAATCCGGACGGCTCAGGGTAGATGGGTTAAAACAAAATTCTTTACTGCTATTATTTGCAGCTGTTTTACGAGCAGTCGACGTCCCATCATAAATTGAAATTAACTTTTTCAGCAACACTTTTCTGGTGGTAGCTGTGACAGGCATTATCCGATATCCGAACTCAACTAATGCCTTTTGCAGTTCTACATCTGACATGGAGTAGACTCGATCAACCATTGTGTAATATTTAGGGGTTTCTTGGCAATCTGGAAATTTATAATATATGGTGATTAACTGATACGTTTGACAAAAGAGATTGGTAGAAGACGGACGTCTGTTTTTTCAATTTTAAAATTAAGAAATCAAATATTGTAGTAACTAGTTTTATTTTCAATAATATATTACATGAATGTTCATCCCGTGGCTGTCGTAAGAGCCAACTAAGGGAGCAAACTACTCAGGACAACAGCACTGCAAAGAGAAGGAAAAGTTGATACAAACCCTATACCAACTCGTCTGGCCAGCGTGGTATAGTAGGCCAAACCTCCTTTGTAAGGAGAGGCCTACCTATGTAGCAGTGGACTAATAAAGGCTGTTGATGATGATGTACGTTATTTGTAGTATGATTGTATTGAAAGAGAAAATAATAAACATCATACATAGAAAAGAAAATTAGAAGAATTACTAAACTTGTATCCACATTCCTGCATTAATCCTAGGAGAATATGCTACTCAGAATGGTTTCTCTATAAATGTCTTAGTGTTAAAATCTACCACATATTTTACAAGTAAAATTAATTTGTTCTATTTTTAATAACATAAGCATATACACAAAACGCTATGCAAGCAACAACTATTTAAAAGTATTATTTACTAAATGTATCAGTATTTTTTGTTGGTGGATGAATGTAATGAAAGGCATTATTATTTTAAAATTATTTTAATCTAGTGCCCAGAAATTTGTCAAATCTTATGTAAGTGGATGATTCTTAACTCTTTTTATTTCTGTATCTCTTTTCATTGTCCGTAACATAATAATCTTCAAAACTATAAAATAATTTTTGGAAATAATCTGAATATATTTCAATCCTTGTCATTATGTCATGTGCTTGATTTAAATATTTTAGAACAATTACCAAAAATTTTATTTCTTCAGGCGGAGAAAAACAAAGAATTAAATATAAAGAATATTTACACAAGTACCTAATACATTGCTTACACAATATTTTACAAATCTCTAAGTTGTACTGTTATTGCACTAGTATGTGTTGCGTCTCGGCAAACGTAGTGTAGGATGCCCAGAAGCCAGGTGGAGTGATGATTTGCGCAAGATGGCTGGCAGGAGCTGGATGCGAGAAGCCCAAAATCTATCTGAGTGGCGTGCAATGGGAGAGGCCTATGTCCAGCAGTGGACTGCAATAGACTGATGATGATGATGATGTGTTGCAAATGATAGAGGAATGACATTATTACTATTTCTTTTAAATAAAAGATGAAATAGCATGCTGCTATAATATTAAAGTCTCAGGTGATATGTGTTTTAATTAATTATGTATATTTTATAGGACTCATATTCATGCAAATAAATCATTACTGATACATGATACACCAGGTGCTGTATAACTAATAATAGTTTCTTAATATAAATAAGTCCTTATTTTAAAACAAAATAATAATAATATAAATATTGTTACCCAGTAAAAAAAAACTACACCCATGCTAACATACTGTTGCATCCAAAAACTAAGCCAGTATCCAAACCTTAAAATAAACTCATGCTCTAAAAACAAGCTGTCATTCTAGAATTTAATTTTAGCTCTAAATACTTTGCTTAAACAAACTAAATATTATCATAATTCCTTCACAACATGCATAGATTTGAGTAAAATTGTACTACCAAGGAGAAGAACTTCATGATGATGATGAAAGAAGAACACAAACAGTGTTCACACCATTCACCTTTTAAAGAACATATACATACTATGCTTGCCTTATTCTTGAACCATATGCATGTCACTGATGTAAATATTAGGAACCCATTTATGGTTATCTGGAATGCAATAGTCATTGTCATTGCCGCTCAATGTCTTGAGCTTGGAGTAACTTCAACTGCAACATTCAATAATCATCATCCTTTAATTGTTAAAAAAATGTTATTATGCCTAGCCTATGTATACAGAGGTCCTATACTGCCCTAGTAGTTAAATTGGTTAGATGTTTGGTAAATAGTGTTTCAAATAACTTTTACATTAAAAAATCTTCTGCCACTCAAATGGCAAATAAAATTTTTCCAAAGCAATGAGGATGTTAATGTATGAACCATATAGGTTATTTAAGTTATAATTTGATGAAAGGATGACTGTAGCTGATTTCATGCCTTGCCAAGTTGAAATCCTCATACTACAGTACTTACTTTTGCTAACAAGTCCTGATTGCAATTTTTTCATCAACAGAGGTCTAGTAGTCGCTGTTATAGGCAAAACTGGAAACCCAGCTGCAGCTAGTTTAGCTTGCAACTGGGCATCTGACATTGAATCAAATTGGTGACCCATTGTGAACTCTGAAATAATAAACTTGTAACATAAACGTATAAAAATATATATTTTTTAATTATTTTTTATACGTCCATGTCTTGTAAATACTTTATGCAACAAAAACAATTTTCTACTACTGAATTGATTATCAAGACAACATTTCCAATAACCCCAATATCCGAGCTGTCATTGATGCTAAACAATATTTTTAACTGTGTAGTTACTTAAACGTCATAACATATGTCAATTGTTTTACTCTAATACTAGCGCATTTTTAGTTTAATAAAAACCTGATACGTTACATACCTAGTGATTCGATTTTATTTCATAAATATTTGCCTCTTTAGTTTAGTTTTGATACGTTTATTTATTTATTGTTACTGTGAAAGCTGAGGCCTGAGACTATTACTGTACTCTGTGGCTGAGACTTTTTACTTATCTATTAGACTACTAAACATGGGAATTATTTACTTTACTTAAATAATTACTTTTATCTCATAAATATTCATTTGATAAATTTATTGTTTTTAGTCACAGCTATTTCACATGTGATTGTGATTTCGTCAGAGACAAAGATAAATGGCATTAAAATCAATCAAAATTCTTTGTATCAAAGATTACGACCATTGTTTTTACTTTCTAGCGTAATAATAATAATTAAGTAAACAAAAATCATTTGTATATCAGTCACAGGTGTGACGACATGATTTATAAATCATATCATTTATCTCATGTGATTGTGATTTTATTCCATCACTAGTACCTACATAATATCTCTTAATCTGTGTGATTGTAATTTATTTTCGTACACTGATCAATAGATGTTACTATTATGACATAATAAAAATATATTAGATATGGAAATTATGAGAATGTTTCGGTTTCGTTTCGATTTCTGTTTTGCCGCCTCCTTGAAAATACAGTCCGGTGCGGTGCACGCTCTGCACACCAGTACTCGGCGGCCCTGTCTCTAGTGTAAGTTTATTTTTAAAATATGGTCTTTGCCTACCTAGTATTTTAGGCTTTACATAGTTTGAATTCAGACGACCGTGAATCAGATGAGCCAAGTTATCATTCTAATTGGATTCAGCTCAAATAATCCCTGTAGTTCAGATACATCAGATATTCTGTTGTTTTTTTCGATCTATTCGACTAGGTGAACGGAAGCTTCACCGGTAGCCACTTCAGGAAACCTCTCCAGGGACAACTCCACACCAGACTTACCTCATGCAGATATCCATATCATACCGAATCCATACCGAGGATAAAACCAAATAAATAAAAAAAGTTAAATCTATTTCAAGTATTTTATTTCAAAGTTGTTACAACAAATAGGTTTTTGTTCATAGTCTTCACAAATTCAAATTAATTGAAAATGGATGTATCAATTTTAAATTATTTAGTTTAGAACTAAATATTACATGCACGGCACTTTTAAGCTAAAACATCAATAAAATAATGTTTTCGAGTTATTAGGTTTGGTAGAAATTTAAAATTGCATTTACAAAAACTCTTAAATCCCAGACTTCTTCACCAATATTAACTTAGATATATTACATAAATAAATTAATTCCATTTTAATTGTAATTTATTATTACTGTAATTACCAACCACTTTCAATAATTCATAAATAGGCAAGTATACTCATCGTCATGTCTGTTGAACAAAAATATAATTTTACATTCTGTTTGTTTTTAGTACTGTCAGGATTTTCATGTTTTGATTGACAATTTAAAAATAAATTGTTTTGTAGTGTGACATTCTGTTTAAGTAATGCACATTCCGCACTTAAAGCTACAAGTAAGCGGTTCGGCCCCGATCTAGGGAGGCGGGGAGGGGGGGGGGGGAGGCGTGGGTAAACCGGGGGATTTTTTTTATCCATTTAAATAAATTGATGAATAAAACTGAAACCAAATACTCTAGTTAAGGTTTAAATTATTTTCGTTACAATAAGATATCGTCTTCGGTCCTATGACGATTAATTTACATAATAGGTTTTACTTTATCTATGAAGTTGGAGATTTTTAAAACAACATTTTCAGATTTAATTATCTGTGCGTGCAATTCTAAATTCGAATAAATTTTATTCGAAAGCCATGTTATTTTAATTTAAAATAATTTGTTTTACAATAGTGTTTTGTTATTGTAAAATTGTGGTAGTTTTTGGCGCCATGTTTAAACAGAAAATTCGTATAATTTTCGAATATGAGTTCCTACTCGGCAATACCACTGCGCAAACGCAGCGCACACGAAACATTAACGACGTGTGCGGGCCTAACACTGCTTGCATAAACACGATCCATTTTTGGTTCAATCTTTTTAGATATGGAAATTTTGAGTTGAAGAAGGAGTGTTGTGTGCGAAGTGGGGGGACCTGGGTACAGCACCAAACCAGTGCGCTAAAAAAAAGATTACCCACAGGAAGATGATTGTAAGTATCTGGTGGATGAGTGCCGGATTCTTACCGAATGTAACAACAGTGAGGGCAGATATCTATTGCCAAAAATTGTAAATAATGATGGAGAAACTCGCAATTCAAGAACTGCTACTGGTCAATCACTCTTACCCATCGCTTCTCCACGACAACGAGCGAGCTCACACTTCACGACTACCATCGCAAAGCTACAAGAGTTACAGCTCTGTCACCGGACCTTGCCCCAATAGATTTCTACATTTTCAAAATTTAGAAAAAAAAACACCACATTGGCAGTACAAAACGTTTTCGCTGACTTCATCATCTCCCGTCCAGCTGACTTCTACAGTAATGGGATAAACAAACTGCCAGCAAAATGGCAAAATTGTATAGATAATTTGGGCCAGTACTTTGCTAAAATAAAAAAAAACCCCAAAATCCTAAAATTTCCATACAAATCTCCTACTTCATATATCAAGACCTAATAAATGCATATAAATTATTTTTTTAATCACATTGAACGCGAGTATACCTAACATCTCAACACCATAAATACAGAGATACATTTTGAATATCACTAAGATTCCACACAAGCAAATGACTCACTTGATGGAAAGCGATCACCATAATCCATAGACATTAAACATTTACATAAATATTAGATCACATTGTAGATATATAAAATCTCTTCTGAGACTTTAACAATCAAATTTAAGACTTATTTCGATTTCTTGGCGGGTATTTATATTACTGTCTTTTTATTTCACGTTTAGTTTGAGCACGCCTTAAAGTGGGAACATTGTAGTGCTCTATGGTCATAAACATTTTGTCAATGGTAAACTCTATGAAAATTACTCACTAATCGCTTAGATAATTTAATTTTTGACTTTAAAGAGCTCCCTAAATATACATTTACGTATAAAATACATAGAATAAAGAACTTTCTATTACAAATGTATCTAATGTTTTCTGGTAAAAAAACCAACCACGCCATATATGTGGTTTGTAAGATTTATATTAAATATATATATATTTGGTGTTATTTATAATATAATTTTAGTCACTATTGTGGAGGTTTCCAGCCTCCGAAGCCCACTTCCAGTTGTTTAGCCACGGCGAGACATAACCGATCTTGATTCGGGGCGGCAATAACCTGAAAAATTAATTTCCCTTTCTTAATATTTTTTTTCATTTATAGTTCTCTGTTCTAGTGTTTTTATGGTATCTTAAAGCTACTGCAGTCTCTCACTCTCTATCTAAGATCCTAGCTCAATCGTTTAAAAACGGTTTTTCTGAACCTAATTTATCTTCTTTCTTTTGTCCTGTCGGATAATGTTTATTAATGACTGGCCTGTTGGTCTAGTGACCCTTTTTTTATAAAAAGACAACTCTTGCATTAGGAATATATCCTGTGTCGGGGGGGACTTTACAAAAATACATGAAACGGACACAAAGAACACCCAGACTCAGAACAACAATGTGTGGATTACACAGTGTCGTCCCATGTGGGGTTTGAACCCACAACACTCTGCGCAGTAGGAAGCGGCGTGGTGACCGCTTAAACCACTACGCCATCCGTGCAGTTAAATGGGTTTTATGTTTATGTTCTATGCGAGAGCAACGTATTCTTAAAAACAAATATTTGCATCGAGCGAAAATCAAACTCCTGACTTTGGCAATACATCAATACATAAATTCTATTTTCCACAAGGTATATTATATACCTGTAGCCCGACGGGCAGGCCGCGGAACAAGCCCAGCGGTACGGCGGTGGCGGGCATGCCGAGGATGTTGAAGACCATGGTGTACATGACGCCCGACGCCTTCAGGAACACGGACTGGTGCTGGTGCGCCTGCTCCACGAACACCGGGTAGATCAGCACGCCGTTCTCGCCCAGCACTCGCTGGAATCGGATACCTTTATGTTGACTAATTATCTGAACATACTGGCAGAAAAGATTCTTGAGCGGTGACCTCGTAGCACACGTTTAGAGGTGAAGATATTGGTTTTACGGTTACGTCTTATAATAATTCTTTACTTTTTAAATAAAATCAGGATCCCATTTAATAAATATGACCGTGACCTTAAAAGGACCTTGAAATTCAGATTAAAGTTTATCCTGTCATAATCTAAGGTCTCCCACTGAATAGCCAGAAAACCCTGAATCTTGTAGCTTGTCTCTTGGCTGAAGAGAATAATCAAGTTCCTGTGGTTTTGTGAGTTTGACCTTGAATTGGTGACCTTTAGAGGTCACAATTTGTGTTCTTGAGGTCATATCCAATTGTAATTTTTTCCTCTTTTTTCAATTCCAGGCTCAAAAATATGCAATCCCATTTGAAAATTGCCCTTGGCCCTTGAGATAACCTTCAAAGTTGTGATCAAGGTCAATTTTAAGGTCACCAATGGATAGCTAAGGCAAATTCCTGTAACTTTTGTGCTTAACGTATTGCCGAAAAATGCATCCCTAGCGAATAATTCAGCCGTTCCGGTACTTTTTTAACACCCGGTACATATCATACATACCTGCATTTGTTCCCTTAATTTATTAGCTTTTCCATTGTAATATCCTTGGCGTGACTCCGGTATGAACAGGTGGGTGGTGTTGATGAGAGAGAAGCTGAGCCCCTGGAGTGATCTCGACCCTCCACCGAACGCGTATTTTATTAGTTCTACAATTAAACTTTTATCACGCTGTAAAAAAAGAAATAGTTTGAATTGTCGCTTTGATAATTATGTAGACTTAAAATGCCTCTGAGCGATAAGGCCGCCGGCAATATTTATGGTATGTATCTGATGTAATAACGAGATTTTATTCTATTATTATTGTTTAAAATTTAAAACTCCTCACGAATCAAATAAATTAATCTACATATTATTTTAATTATATTCACTAGCAACATTGGCATACATGTTTTACAGCGTACTAAAAATTTTACCTTTATATTTTCGGAATTCATAAATCGTTTTATGACTAAAATCACATAAGAGTTTTATGAAATTAATCTAATACCATTAACATTGGGAAGATTTTTTTCCTGGCAACATTAATTTACGGTTATATGCATAGAGATATAGGCATAGAGAGAACACGGGGCACAGCTGCCTGTAAGTGCCTGTAAGCGATACAGGCAACAAGAAAGATGGATGCCCGATAGTTTTCTCTGTATCTGTTTAGGTAAGTTGCGATTGGCTATCGTGAAGTGGGCATGGTTTTGATCGTAGAACAGGTGGGAGATTAGAAATTTCCCTAGTCAACCACAGAGCTCGACTAGAAAGAGATAGAGGGAACTATCTATTTATCCATCTCTCGCGGTGCCTATGTTGCAAGATTGGGGCTCTTGTTCACTCTATGGATTTCTGTGGATGACATAGATACAAAAAGGGTGCGCCCCACGGTAGTCGTATGTGGTGTGTAACATCTTGTAAACTTCCGTCCCTTTTTACGAAATCATTCTATCAATTTTAAACCAATATTTACTATAATTTGATGATTATCTTAATTTGAATACAAAAAGATATAAATTTCAAAAAGGTTTTTGGATAAAAACCGATTTAAGTAATTGCCAAAATAAGTGAGGCGCTGACGGATTAAAAAACGAATAGCTTTGTCTCAATTTGCTTCCGACATTTTATATATCCACATCTCACTCTAATGTGATGGCGTATTATGTTCAACTGTCTTTATTGTTTTTATTTGTTCAGTAAACTTACTTTTGGGTTGGCGGGATCTTGCAACAAATTCGGTATGTCTTTCATTGAGAAAAATACTGATATCGATATTTCCACAGAGTCTTCTAAATCCTTGAATTTTTCCTGTAATTTCAAAACGACACATTGAAATATTTTCTCATACGTAGATTATATTTAAAGAAACGGAACCAGTTAATAGATGAAAGCCTGAGTTAATTACTTCAAACTTGACACAAACTCATCTGGCGAGAAGACATAAAAATTATTATTACTTATGAATCATATTCATATGATGAATGTTTAGTTTTAGTCACAGTGATTTCACATGTGATTGAGATTTGGTCGTAGACAAAATAAATGCCCTTATAACGTGCGTCCCTGATACCCCTCTTACCCCGCGACCCTCCGTGGCTCGCCCGCGCGCATGCCCGGTAGTGGCGCCAGTCTACCCGAAATACGGCGCGCGCGACACCCGTTTCATTCTAGGTTACGCCCGCGCTCCCAAGTTAAGTTTAAGGATAAGTTTCATTATACTAACATTGTAAAGTATAATCTCTAATGTGTTTGTTGTTGTAGACTTAAAAATAAATAAAACATTATACAACGCATTATACCCTTAAAATCCGAACGAAACCGTCACGGAAATCGTGATCGACTTGGCCTGTTTAGTCGACTAATTAGTCGATTGTAAAAATCAATGGGTAATTGATTCAGATAGGCTAAAGATTAAAGATCCCAACTGCTTAATACAGGTCGTAGATTCGATTCCCACCCAAGACATGTGTGTATTTAGAAACTACTAAACAATTGTTTTTTAATTATTTTAATTCGCGTACCTCACTGACAGTACATCCACATTCTTTCTCGAGATATTTGACAGCACTTTTTATCGCATCGTTTATGCATTTGTCCACTCTTAATAAAGCTATTGAATCCGTAGCTTCGTGCATGTACAGCACCTGGAAAAAACTTTAAATCAGTTTCTTTGAACAGTAGTAAAGTAATAATAGTTTAAAAAAACTGCTGCTTATAATGCTGCTTATAATGATATAAATGCTTTTTATAGAAAACCAAACTAAAAAATAGAAAATAAATTTTAATAAATTTTTAAATAGTTTTAGTTTTTTTAACTATTATTATTATATATTTTTTTAAATTTTAAATTAGTGTATTGTCATCGGTCCTCGATATATCTACAAAGATTAAACGAATTCTATTCGTTTGTTTAAAGTCAGTCAAAATCGATCGATCAAAAAGGAGTATTCTGACCGATTAAAGTCAGTTAAAATCACGCCCAAAGGAGTCGGTTACAAACAAACATACAGGTGAAGCTAATTAAAAGCGTGTAAAAACATTCGGGTTTGTCAGTTACCTCTGCTTAACCTCACGGAGATACAGGCGTGAATATACGTGTTATGTCTTTTTGGGTTATCAAACAGTCATATAGAAGTGTGTTCGCGAAATGAACGAGAAGTATTGTTTAGGAAGAATCAAATGACGGATCTCCTCTGAGACTTTTCCCAAACTAGGGTGGGATCGGCTTCAAGTCTACTTCAATACGACTGAACTTCGATTTTTACAGTGGAGTGATCAGAAGGCCAATTCTCATAATATTAGTTCGCTCTCAATAGGGAATATGCATGTATTTTTTTAAACGATTCTACTAGTTATTACATTACCAAAAATAAATATAACACATCCGAAATATAAACCGTTAAGCGAATTTTTTTTTTACTAAAATCACTATCATTTTGGGGCAATTTGAACACGTCCATTTTGGCGCGCTTTTTTTGTGACGTCAGATTACACTTTCAGACGAATTCGATGTCAACAACGGAGTGAAGTTCACAAAGTTTGTGAAAGTTAAAAAAGTGAGTGATAAAAATTAACCTTTTACCATGGAAAAGCCAATAAAAACTTATTATAAATATTGTGCCGTTTGTGCCCAAATAATATCAAAACTGCACCTAACAAAGTATATTCAGTCATTGTGTTGAGTCTTTCTACACGGGAATTTAATAATTTAACACTGAAAACGTATTAGTTATTAACATAAAATGAAACAAATAATCACCAGAAACCAAATATTACAAATACACACAACTTGTTGACACTCTTGACAGTGTAGGTTGACGTCACGTTTTATACAACCAATAGCGTTGCGTTTTAGAAATTTGCGAGGGAATCATAAAAAAGCCAATTTTTGATGATTAAATTTCACTATTAAATTATAATAAATTTCAAAAATAATTGTAATGGTATCTTTTTTTAGCAATAAAAATTACAAATAAAAATATTTTGTCCATTTTGGTGTCACGTGCATATTCCATATTCAGTGCCGATCAACTTTCTATCTCACAACTGTCACTTCAGGGATCACATAAGGGATAGGAAGATGGGCGAGTTTCATTTCTTAGTTACCAGAGTCATCAATTTACAATTCTTTTTCTAGTTTGAAATGAGAAAAACTAAACAGAAGTGATTTCAAATTCTATAGTTTCATATACCTTGACTTTCTTCATGTCGACGGGTTGGTCCAGCCTCAACAAGCTCTTGTTGTCTCCTGCCATGATGTCCATCAAGAGCGGCAGGTCGTCCGCCCGCCGCGTCATGGGCCCCACCGTCAGGAACTTGGGGAAACTCTCGTCACTCAGCGTCGGTATGTGGCCTTCTATTGATATTATACCTGATGACATCATAAGTAAACGGCTAAGTATTTTTTTTTTAATACATTCACACAACGCCATCTAGTCCCAAACTAAGCAGAGCTTGTACTATGGTTACTAGACAACTGATATCAATACATTTATACTTTTTTTTTGTAAATACATACAATATTATACATAGCATATTGTATTAGGGTTGCGTTCTAGTCATTCGAAATTCGGTTTATTTAATGATGGTTAGTATTTCCTAAACCATCATTCAATAAACCGAATTTCTTGTTAGACAGTTGGGTAAATCAACTGTCGAACAAGTAGCGTAATTATGGGTGTACAAGAACGAAGACATATAGATGTATGTAGGTTGTGATTGTACGATGAATCGTGATGCTAGGAAATAATGTTTGGGATTTCAAAATAGAAAAGAAGATCTGTTTGCTATTATATATCCCTGTGTTAACTTCCATTCAGATCTGTTTAACCCTTTGACGTTATTGAGAAAAAAATATCCATCCAAACTTTCGCCTTTCCAATACTTAATTTGCGCTCATTTACCTCTATGAGATGCAAGGATACTGCATGCAATTTCAGATATCTAATTAATGTTTTGTTACAACAAGGCTGATATATTTCAGATAAAAGTCCGATAAAAAAAGGGAAAATTAAAAGAAGAAGAAACTGCTGAATAGAAAAGTGTTTTTATATTTCCTTTTTTTAATTTTCTTTAAAAATGCAAAGAAAAATCTTTCTAAGTATCTTTTTATACCCTACTAAAAAATAAAATAAATATATAGTAATAAATTTAAGAAGTTTCTTTGACTTTCTCCTTTTTTCTTTGTTAAAAAGATTTGCTGCATAATGGGACATAATGCAGCGCGGGCCAAACAGTCAAGGTATAGAATTGGTATTTCAGATTTGTATTGGGGTTTTCATCCATTCGATACTTAATCTTGATTGGTCAATAATTTATATTTAAACAGTTTTTAACATGTAGTCTTTTATATATAGTTACCAGGCGTTGGTTTATGTCCGAACACGCCACAGAAGGCGGCGGGAAGTCGTATGGAGCCCGCGATGTCGGACGCTACGCTGAATGGAGACGCGCCACAGGCTAACAGAGCGCCCTGGAATCATTTATTACATCTGAATACAAACAAGAGTACAGGAAGGTCCTGACCTTATATATTTAAAAGCCAATCTTTGACAAGGATCCATAGCTAAATAGAGAGCAGGAAGACGTTTTATACAGAACCATAAAAGACAGGTTGTCACCTATCTTGGCACTAAAGTTTCGAATAATAGCACGGTTTTACACGAGCTGGACTCATAATATGTTTATCAATGTATTACTAATTACTATAGACTATTCTAAAATAGCACCAGCGTCATCACAGTCATCACAGCGATAATACACCACGAGGTTTTTGTTGCCGCCCTATCCCGTTCAATTTGCATCCCTGTTTTTTTTGCGCAATTTTTTTTCCGCCAATGCGGATACGTCTATATAAATTCCCTGATTATAGATGTGTCACAGAATTTTGCGAAAAAAAGCGCTATCGCCGTGCGGACGGTCCTAAATTCGTTGCTATTTGTACAATCTTTTTAAATATGTAAGAATCTTGTATGTAAGAAGTATGGATTAATAATTCATATTTTTGCCTGCATGTTTTAACAACAGCGTGGCGTGACTTTACGTTGTAGCTATTAGAGATCAGTTACAGGATACAGAAAGTGGTTTCAGAGTTCATAATTCTCTTTATTGTCTTGTAGATATTATTTTTCTTTTCTTCGTTTGTAGCTGTTATATCGACAAAAACCTTTGTGTTCTGTTATGTTTCACTTTTAACTTAGCAATTTTTAACTGACTTCAAACAAAGTTCTTAATTCGGTAGTATTATTTTTAATGTTATTTATTTTAGAACTCCGTAATTTATGAAAAAAAAATTGGGAGTTGTATACTTCCCTTGTACCAGGGATTTCCTTTCTAGGTTACACCTGGTTCCTTGGTTACTAGTACCCGAGACGGGTGCCGCGGGGATCCAAAAGGATTTCCGCACGAAAAAATGGGAATACTTCCCGTCTGGTCTCATTCAAATTGCAAGAAAACAACACCACCTTGGAGGGTGGAAATATAAAGTTCATTTACAATTCATCATGGTGTGGAAGCATTGAACTCGGCGATACTTTAGTGTTCGTTATGTCCGTGTGGTGAGGGATTAAGAATACGGAGTGTCACCCCTATTTATCCCGTGGGTGTCGTAAGAGCCGACTAAGAGAGCACACTACGCAGGACAACAGCACTGCAAAGCGAAGGAAAACTTGACACAAACCCTATACCAACCCGTCTGGCCAGCGTGGTATAGTTAGGTACAACCTAATTTCTAAGGAGAGTCCTACGTTCAATAGTGGACTGTTAAAGGCTGTTGATGTGCGTGTGATGTGAAACTTCTTTGAAGGTTTACTATGATTTTTGCTGAAACACTTAGGACTTCGAAGGTTAATTTTGCATCCCAGTAGGTGCAATCATTGCGAGGTATGATGCAAGTGTTAACTAAACATCAAACATAGTTTACAAACAAATATGTGCTGAGCTCCACGCACCATTAACACGCAGGGATCTAAGAATGATGTTATGACAACAATCGTGATTTTGATATTATGTATGTTTACAATCGTGATACTTATGGCGAGTCCGATTGCGTAATGATCAACAAATATTCCATCTAGCGAATACCTAAATAGGCGAAATGTTGTAAGTTAATTTAAGAAGTAATAAAGTATGACGAAGGTAAGAGCTCGAATTGTCGACACTCAAGCAAATTCATCACATATAGTCATCACATTATATCGTGTATTATATGTACATATTTATAAAATTCTCGTGTCACGGTGTTAGAAGTTGAACTCCTCCGAAACGGCTCGATCGATTTTCGTGAAATTTTGTGTGCATATCGGGTAGGTCTGAGAATCGGCCAATATCTATTTTTCATACCCCTAATTATTATTATTTTTGACTTTTTTTTTTAAATAATGTATATGGAAAAACAACGTTTGCCGGGACAGCTAGTATATATATATGTATGTACCTCAGCAAGTATATATGTATGTGTATCTCAGTATGTATGTATGTATATCCGCCAGACTGGTTCTGTCCATATCCTTAATTATTATTATCTCGTTACATATAAAACTTAATTTCTAGTGCACCTACTCAGACATTTCCCCACCACCCAAAGGTAGACTGGGAGAAAATGCCCGTGGCCTTAAGTCCGCCATTGTAAATGAATTGTTGTTTGTTCAAAACGTATTAAATAAATAAATAAACGCTGGAAATTTAGAACTGAACAGAAACACTAATGGTATTAAAATGCGAATGAGATCGAATTGGAAAATATGATAGCAAATTAACAAAAAGTTATTTGCAATCTATCTTCTCTTCTTTTTCATTACCTACTGGCTTCAACCCGCAACGAAATTAATTAAAAGAAAATTAAAGGAGTTGGAAATATAATAAATCTAATTCCTTCCTTAGGAAAGCGGGAGACAAAATCATCATCATCATCAATAGCCTTTAATAGTCCACTGCTGGACATAGGCCTCTTCTTAGAAATGAGGTTTCGGCCTACACGGAGACAAAATGAGGTATAAAAAATTCAGAACCCGCATTATAAAACAAATTAAAACCGATTTATTTAAATTTCCAAATAATAAGTCCCCGGTTTAAGTTGCAAAGCAAAATTTTCCCATATGATTTCTTTTTATACCAAAATGATTTCTCCTACATCTAGCAAGTTTTATCATTACCTCACCACCGGATGAACCTCCCGGCGTCCTGTTCAAACAGTAAGGATTGTTAGTCGTCCCCCTCAACAAGTTCGTGGTCTCCCATCCCAAGCACAGTTCTGGTGTGTTCGACACTAACAGCGGGATGGCCCCCGCCTTCTTCACGAGGCTGACGACACCCCCGTCCGTGGTTGCGCGACGTCCTGCGTTTTCTAGACAACCTACCGAGTTTGACATACCTGAAATGTTTAGATTTATTATTTAGCCGCTTAAACCACTACGCCGAATAAACTTTGAACTTTAAAACAAACATAGTCATATTCATGAAACATTGATTTAAACTGCTTATTTTAACCTCAGAATAATTTAAAAACGTTAAATTAACATTTACTGTTGTACGGTTAAGGAGAAGAAGAACCGCTAACAACAAAAACTTAAGCCTATTGTTTTAAAAGACTTACCAGCCAGAGAACAGCTCTCCTTAACCGTAAACGGCACTCCCAATAATGGTTTGTCTTCTATGAGCTGTTCGAAGGACCCATCTTTCTTAGCATCTTCAATCAGTCTATCAATTGCTTTAGCGTCATCAATTGCCGCTCCATACCTTTCTTCTACTACTGCGTTGAGGAATGGATTCACTTCTTTCACACGGTTTATATAGATTGTTACTAATTCTTCGCTTGTTATCTGTAAGATTAAAAGGTTTTTATTTATTTATTTTAAACTTAATGCAAATATTGTACAAAGGCGGACTTAATGCCATTGGGCATTCTCTCCCAGTCAACCTTCAGGTGATGTAGAAATATGATGCGGTAGGTGCAAAAAAAAATAATGAAATTTAACATAATTTAGGTTCAGAAACATACACAATATATAAACACACATGCATACATAAACCTACATTAATTTAATAAAATATATAAATAATAATAATATTGTACCACATTCACACAACGCCATCTAATCAGTTATTGAGTGCAGTTATTGAGAAGGTGATCTAGTTTATTGAGAAGGTCTGCATTCAGGTCGAAATAACACACATCACCATAGTCGATTATGGGAATAATTAAGGACTGCATAAGCGTAGCCTAAGTTTTAGCGGGAAGGAAGTTCTTCAATCGATATAAGGCACGGAGACATGTGGTGACTTTTTGGCCGACGTGTGTAACCTGTGCCCGCCAGTCAAGTGTCGAGTCGATATATAACCCCAGGTTCTTTACCACTGCACTATAAGGTATAGTCACACTGTTGTAGAAAACTGGTGGGATGACCACCATATCCAACCTACTTATCATTTGTTTGATCCCCACGTTTTTAGTCTTCTATGTACAAGGCTCGGCTAGTGGTGAGTAGTTATCGGTATATTTGAGCGTTTGTAAATATCAGTCATATTTACGTTGCCATTATTATCTAGGATCTATCGTTATCATGTAAACATTGTTTCTTAACTGAAAACTCAAAAAATCCAATGCCTCAGTAATTTAAATGCAGTTTCCCTTGTTTGAAGTGAAAACTTATTTAGCGGCGTTGTACACTTTTTTTGTAATGGGTAAAAAATGTTAAACTCGCGTCAGGACACGTGACCTGATCGAAAATTCGTAAGACGGATGGAGAGTAGGAGAGGAAGTATCACCTTCTCTTTCTACGGCGCGGCAAAAAGAATGCCTGCGCCTGCTGTTTCGTTTAGACGGCGCAGGGCGCTTGCGCGAATGTTCGTGTGTGTTTATGTTACAGCGTGCCACGCGCATCCATGGATGGTGCGCAATAAATAAATATTACATTCTACCACATAAATGATAGTACTTTTATACTGATAATTAAAGCAATTCGTGCAAAATTATTCCCTAACCATTCCAAAATATCAAAAATGCACAACGTTAATATTCAAGTTTTCACTTCTGCCGGCACTCCCAGAGTGCAACCCGTCGTTTTTTTTTATGTTAGAGGGGCAGACGAGCAGACGGGTCACCTGATGGAAAGTGACCATCGCCGCCCATGAACGTCTGCTACTCAGAAGTCATGCGATGCCAGCCTTTTAGGAAGGAGTACGCTCTTTTCTTGAAGGTTTGAAGGTCGTATCGGTCTGGAAATACCGCAGACGATAACCCGTTCCACAGATTGGTTGTGCGATGCAAAAAGTGTCTCAAAAAGCGCACAGTAGTGGAGCGCCAACTACCCAGGTAATGAAGATGAAAACTTAGCCGTATGGAAAGATGGCGGAAAGTTGCAGCTGGTATTTTTCATAAATTTAATGGCATAAATGACATTCTACTCTTTATTTCCTGATATAAGTCAGTTTTGAATTTGGCACTACAAACCACAATGCTTTTGCAAGTACTGCTAGGTTTAACACAAAATAAAGAACTTGGAAACAACAAGACGCAGCTGCTGACTGCGGAACATATTAAGAAGAGCCCCAGGATTATGATAACAATATTGGTCACCAATAGTGATAAACTGGAACCCTAATCATCTTATATTATGCCATATCAAACACAATAGTTGAGTTCCTTGAAAACTTTAAAATATGTTTACTTGTATTTCTTTACAATAACTTAAATGTCTATTGAAAAGTACATATACAAATACCTCAGAGATTATAACCACGACATAGCTAACTAGTTACGTAACATGTTCGTAACATGTCCGAGTGGTGACGGATTAAGAATACGGAATGTCACCATCCCTATTCACCCCGTAGGTGTAGTAAGAGCCGACTAAGGGAGCAAACTACGTTGGACAACAGCACTGCAAAGAGAAGGAAAACTTGAAACAAATCCTATTCCAACCCGTTTAGCCAGCGTGGTATAGTAGGCCAAAACCTCCTTTCTAAAGAGAGGCCTATGTCCAGCAGCGGACTGTTAAAGACTGTTGATGATGTTGATGATGGTGTTCATTTTTTGCAATTGTTCAAAAATACAAAATCTAAACATTAAACACGTCTCTAATTTAGAACAACTAACTGATACTGATATAAGAAAATAAACCGGCTTTAGAACAGAAAATATAAGAAAACATTTCAGGCCTTGAACGAGGTTCTGTGGCACATATGAAGAGAGTAACGACGTTCTCAAATCTTATGAAGATTTCACTGAAATGAAAAGTGGCAGTGGACTGTAATAGGCTTTTGATGAACGTAACATGTTAAATAGGTTCTATACATGTTTTAGGGTTATGGTTTGGCCACTTTAGAGGTTATCCAATATAGTGAATACCCTAATTAATCTTGGGACAATTAAATGAAATGCATACACGTGTTCACGTAAACTGGTTTAATTCTCGACTGTTAACGGCGGATGCAGCAGCCTCCAGGTAAGCATATTTTGCTTACATATTAATTATTACATATTACAGGAAAGTAAGTAGGTGAGATACGTTGTGTCCCTACACACGCAACATTGCAAAAGGAAAATGGCAGAATCAAGAAGCCCTTCAAACGAAATTTGTATTCTAGTCATCAGCGTCCTAATAAAACGAGACGTATCTCGTTAGATAATCTTCTCAAAGTTGAATATATTTTATTACTTCAATTATATTACGGAAAGTAGACAGAATTTTACATAAATTCACATCATCATCACATCACCAGTCTTTACTAGTCCACGGCTGGACATAGGCCTCTCCTTAGAAAGGAGGTTTTGGCCTACAATACCACGCTGACCAGACAGGTTGGTATAGGGTTTGTGACAAAAGTTCCTTCTCTCTGCAGTGCTGTTGTCCTGCGTAGTTTGCTCCCTTGGTCGCCTCTTATGACACCCACGGGATGAATAGGGGTGGTGACACTCTGTATTCTTAATCCATCACCACACGGATAATCCGTCATCAAATAGATTAAAGGCTTTTAAATTTTTTGAATGATTGTAAAAATAACGAGTAAGAAACTTTGTCAACGTAACCAGTCTTTTTGAGTAATTAGTAATATTGAAACCCATATTTTAAGTCATGGAAAGTGATCAGAGCATACCTCTAAAATAGAGTACTAAGTAGAGTAATTAAAAATTGTGAAGAGGAGCTACTGGGATCTGAGCAGAGCTGAGAAAACTCTTACATTTAAGGAGTTTAAGCATTGTAAACGTAATTTAAACTGATTTACATAGAGTTAATGGTCTACTTATCTTAGTAACAAGTCTCTTATGTACATACACAAAAGAGGCAAAAACGGGCCTGATGTATCTATTGAAGATGGCTGTTGAGAAGGGTTGACAAGTCCAAAAATAGAAATACATACCCCGTAACCGGGGTAGTAGGTAGTATACATACAAGACCTTTTAATGTTAAGATTGTATTAAACTAGCTGCCCGCGCGAACTTCTAATAAACATTTTAATACAGAAAATGAAACCGAATTATTTTTACAGGTTTTGATACTATTATTTTTTACAAAACAACTTTCATTTCAGATGTAACAGATAAAACAAGTTTTTCCGTTTTAAATGACTTTCTTTTACACCAAGAAAGAAAAATACAAATACTTAAACCTTTCAAAGAGAAACTACGGTAGTGGTATTCTAACTTCTTAAATTTAAGTCGAACGAGTTATTTTGACAAGAAAATATGTAGATATATGACAAACGTACTTGCAAAAGTTTACCTTATTATTTGTGTGTGTGTAACAAACCATGTATTTCTAGAAACATTGTAAAAATGTATTCTTCCTTGCACATCACTCTCAGCTGGCTGCTTTACAATACATTTTAATAATTTCTAGTTTGTTTTATAAATGCAAAACAAAGTAGAAATAATCAAAAATTTAGAAATAATTGAAACTTATGGGATATGGCGTAAGATGGTTAAAGTGCGGTCGATTGGATTCCGAGATTCCAATGTTGGGTAAATTATTATTGGTTTTATGTAAAAAATTCAATGAAATAGGCTTCCGTAAATGCCTCCCGTCTGAGAAGACCGGTTAGAAGCTATTTGCACTTGCCATTTTTTTTATGGACGTTCATTCGACATTCCCGTACATGGTTTCCATTCGGGCAGTTTTCGGCTCTCTCGATCATCCGTTCCCCAACCCACAACTTTGATGCACTTTAATTTGCTGACCTGATCGCTTATGTCGGTCTTAGTTCGTCAAAATTCTCAATAAAAGCAAAGAATTGAAAAACGTCACTAAAGTATGGAAAAAATATAAAGCAAAGCAAATTTATTTTGCGTTTAACTTTTGCGTCACACAACTATTATAGTCAGGAACAAGCTGAGCCGTATACCATATTAGCACAGTCATTAATCGCTATAAATTGTTATTGCTCTATTGTTTTATTTTGTACATGTACAATTGTTTTTATTGTACGATTTTTCTTCCATCTTCAAAATATATCCAACACTGTTAGGTACCTTTATGCTACGGACACAAAGAACACCCTAACTCAGAAAACAATTAGTGGATCACACAAAGTGTTGTCCCATTGGGGATCGAACAAACAACACTCATCGGAGTAGGAACGTAGTAGTGACCGTTTAAGCCACTGTCTACGTCATCCGACCAGTCAATACACCTACCTAATATACTCGTATTTAGTAATATACTCCGGTGAGCATAATACGGCTTGTCCCAAGTTTGTAATCAAATATAAGTGTAAATATAAATTGTAATTGCTCTGTAAATAAATGTAATAAAATTCGCTGGAACTTATTCTTACCTCTCCATTCCTAATGGCAGATGCCAATTCAGAAGCACTCTTCAGTAGTATGGGGTTGGTTGTAGGTGGTAGTCGTCTGTTGTCACGAGCCCGGAGCCAGAACAGTGGCGCTAGGAGGAAGTTCAGCACACGGAGGAGTATTCCCACCAATTGAACGCCTACTTCCATCCTGGGGAAATGATAAGAATGATTTCAAATATACTAAAACTTAAATCATATTTTTCCTGCCCTTTTTAATTTTTTTTACGGGTTGGCACAATTTCGTCCCTGTGGTGACCGATTAAGAATAAGGAGTGTCACCATTACTATTCATCGACCAAGCCGACTAAGGAGCTAAAGAGAAGGCAAGCTTGAAACAAACCCTATACCTACCCGCCTGGTCAGCATGATATAGTAGGCCAAAACCTCCTTTCTAAGGAGAGGCCTGACTAGCAGTGGCCTTTAAAAGGCTGTTTGATGATGATGAAAGTGATTTCACAATTTGTAACATTGCAAAAAAATTGAAAACAGAAAGAAAAACCTATTGTTTTGCACACTTCCAACAATTGTTTAACATCATTTATCCTTGCTATTTCCAGTAATCGACAACATGTCACGACTACAAATCAACATATTTATGATAGGTACATGAACCAAGGTTCAAATGTACAGGTGAAAAATGATTTATTTAAGAACAAAATATCATTAGAATAACAACTACCAAATGTATTGTTTGTGTCTGATCTGTTCGTCTTTTAATCATGAATATGTAAAAATAAAAAATGAGCCCTGTGACGACAATTTTTGGAACAAAGTTCCTTATCGTGGGAGCGAAACCGAAAAAATGTGTAACAAGACTTTTACACTTCTTGTATATTTAATATACGAGTATAATACATCGCCGTACACAGCTCTACCGCGCCAAAAGACTCAACGGCTCTCTTCGGCTTTTTGTTTAACTAAATTATCCCAGATCGTTCAGTGTTTAATTTATCATTATTTATTTTATACATAATAATATATTTCATCATAAATTTTTCAATTTAACTCTATTTACTTGATTTGACTGACCTGTTGGTCTAGTGGTTAGTGACCCTGACTGCTATGCCAGAGGTCGTGGGTTCGATTCCCACCCAGGACAAATAATTGTGTGATGAGCACGGTCATTTGTTCTGTGTCTGGGTGTACTTTATCTATAATATGTATGTATTTAGAAATATATAGGTATGTTTATCAGCAGTCTGGTTACCATAGCACAGGCTCTGGATCAGACAGCCGTGTGTGAGATGTGTGAAAATATTATATTATTATTATTATTTACTAAATATTTTATATTATAAATAATAATGACTGTACCTATAGCAAAACGTCTACAAAAAGACATAGGAACTTCGTCCGGGGGGTCCATATGCCGTTTTTTTATGACATAGCGGTCAAACGAGCAGACGAGTCACCCGATGGTAAGTGACTACCGCCGCCCATGGACACCTGCAACTCTGCAACACTCTCAAGTATGTTGCCACCATTTGAGTACTCTTACCCCAGAATCTGGGGGAGGGTAGATTTTGGCTTCGGTAGCCTTTTGGAGGAACGAAAGTCATGTCCCTCCAACACAAAGGGAGATCCTCCGACGGCGACGTGATCATGAATAGCGGGCCGCGGCCCAACGGTTGATGTTGAGGAGTTGTATATAAGTTAATCGTCGAGAGAATTGTTCATATCGCGATACAGGAGTACAGTTACTCCGTAGTTCGTTGTGTTTTCGTTAGATGGCGCTGTAGTAAGTTTCTTCGTTTCGCTGTATGTGGAAGTCGCCACTCACAAGGTGTAAAGCAACGAATCAAGTAAACGTCGTATCACTCCGGCCGAGCCGGCCAAATGGGGCCGAAATATTGCTCTCCCGCGGTTAATAATTTCTCATGCTCATCTATTGTGTGTCTGGTTACTATAGTACACCATGTTTATTTAATAAAACAACTAAGAAAAATACACTAAACATAGCAGTGGCGTCATATACTGATGGTAAATAGTTCCCACTTAACCACTAATGTGTCACTAATTGGTTAACAAATACTTTTCTATACTTAGTTTTATGATTTAGATTTCCATAGTAACACTTTATCTACGTATTGTTAGTAATTATCGACGTATACCGACACACTAATAACTTGGTACTACTTCATTGTAGTGTATTGTATTTTTTATTTTTATTTATTTAAATAATAAAACAGTATAAAATAATAACATGAAACACCCATAAAACCCGTATTGGTTTATCTTGGGTGTAAAAGGAGCGTGATATTGTCAGAGTATAGAGTAACATAAGCCAGGCTGCTCTGTGATTTCACATCAACTTGTTCTCGAGGGGTAGCGCGATAGTCGCTGCGATTGGTGAAGAGTTCAATGCGGGCCAATCGCAGCGCCGAACCGTGACGATCGAGTAGATGTGAATTAAATTAACACTAGGCCCTCAGTACTGACTCAGTCTTGACTTAACGCCAATAGCAAATTCGACTTACACGACCTTGATCCTTACATTTCCTAATCCATTAATATATGGAAACCTTATCTACCTCTTCCTTGTACATAGGCCTAATTATTCTATCTAATCCCTAAAGTTGGTGGCAATAAGCCTGTCACCCGGGCACCTGGTATTCAAGAGTCACAAGGGCGTTGTCTCCGTTTGAGTTCTTCCACCTTAAATTAGGAGGAGGGAGGTTTGGGCCCCGGTAATCTCACTCACTCGGTGAAAAGCATTCTTTCGGCTTTCTGTGAGGCCGTGTTATCTATCTGGGCCTCAATTCTGCTATTTTACTGCCGACTGTCGGAATAGTTTTGCGCTTTTCGTATTCTACTAACTATGTAAGACCAATGGCCTCCCGATAACTTGTCACTGTACTGCCACTAATATAAATGTCGTCGATGTGTTTATAATAGTTTGGTAAACAGTACGGTAAATTTGTAAGGTAATGATTTATAAATTTTCCCGATATGGCAATATTGTCAATATCACCATTGATGAGCCATTGCCACTGACACTGACAGTCTATTGACACTGTGAATTTATGTTAGTAGAATATCGATATTTTGACCGATATCAATAGCGTGTCAATGGATTGATAGTGGCTTGTGCGTTAACATTAAATAGCAGAATTGAGGCCCTGGTCTCTCTCTCTCTCTCGGTTCTTCCACGGCTAATTCGTACGTGGGACTAAAATTTAAGTCAGCAAAATGTGGGCGTTAAATAAGCCGCTGCCTGTTTCTTCTGGGATTAGCATAAGTGTATGTAATCTTAGATAGCGAAGCTGTGACGTGCTGTGAAATGATTGAATTCGTTTAAGAAAAATCTGTTGTATTGTAAGACCTATTTCACCTTCGAATACTACTAATTACCATACAATGGCATTAAGAAAATAGCCCCCTACCTGACATAATTGTACGTCAGACTGCTAAACCACTACTTAATGTTTGTTTGGAAGTAGGTTCGATGAACTTCGAGCCCACCTTGTAGTACTTCATGAGAAAATTTTCGATAATTGAATGAAATGCAAAAAGTAATCTGTTTTTGTTTCATTCATTCACAAATGAGAAGATTAAACAAAGGACTTCGTTTTTTGAAATCGGTTAAAAACCACAATACATGTATACTGCATCGAAACTAGTATAGAAATACATATGTACAAACAAAAGTCATATTTGCCTGTAAACATCACACATTATCACATCAACAGCCTTTAGTCCACTTCTGGACATAGGTTTCTCCTTAGAAAGGAGGTTTTGTGATTGGTATAGGGTTTGTGTCAAGTCTAATTCCCTCCATTGCCGGTAGCGACAGTGTTTTTTACCGCGGTCGCAACCTTCTGCGAGGAGGTAATCTCGCAGAAGGAGGCGGTGGAGAAGGCCCGGGAAGACGACCTCCACTCGGACCCGATCCGCCGCCGGCGAACCGGGCGGAGGAGGCGCGCTCACCTGCGCCTCATGCCGCCCTGAGTGTGGCTGCGGGTGGATGGGATGGGTTCTCCCCTCCACCCGCATTAGTTTGGCCAGCCGCGAAGGGGCGGCGTCCGCGTGTGCCGGACGTCGTCTAAAGAGAGGAAAACTTTGAGACGGAGCCCGCACCAAGAGCGGGCCGGCGCTGGGAGGGGTCCAGAAGGCGATAACTACCTGGACCCCCCCCTAAACTGAAAGCGCAAAGAGGGCACACCGTGTGGTTTTAGACTGTTCGAGTCCGACACACCGCCCCGCCGAACGAGAGCCCCGGTGGGGTGACGGTCCGAGGGGATTTAAACACGTTAAAAAAAAAATGGGTTTGTGTCAAGTTGTTCTTTTGTTCTGCGTAGTTTGCTTCGTTACTATTCCTTAGTCGGCTTTTATGACACACAGGCGTCACGCACCCATGCCCACGGGATAAATAAGGTGACCCTCCGTATTCTTTCTTCTTTAACTATACATATATGTAATTTATACAGTTTCATTTCAAAGTTATCTTCCAGTTTAACAAGTGGAGCTTGTAACCCTGTAGGGAGATGAAATAAAAACAGACTACAAGAATAAATTACTTCTTCAGGTTACAAAGTAGTACTAATAAAAGTGGAGACTGAATATTTAATTATGTTCGCAGTGGGACTCTTCGAGCCTGCGGTCAAAGCACACGCCAATAAAAGATTACGCTCTTGGCCAGTTGCCAAGTCACAATGGCTGTGTTTACAGCACCTTAATAGTTAAAATGTTGCAAACAATAAACATGTTTAAAAGAACGAGTGTCACGAAGGAGTTTGACATACCTGTGTAATGTACCCATCCTACTTGACTCATGTATTACAATCTTTCATTACAATACCTACCAAGTAACGGATTTTATTATTTAGTGACTGATTGTAATTTATACATGTACATAGCGAGATTTTGTAAAATAAACACTCAAAGAAATAAGCAAGGACTGATACTTGCACTAAAACTTTAAAAGAAAAGATTTTTTTTACGGTATAAGGGGACAAACGAGCAGAGGGGCCACCTGATGGTAAGCAACTACCGCCGCCCATGGACACCTGCAACTCAAAAGTTACAATTGCGTTGCTGCCCTTGGAGTCTCTCCCGCTCGAGTCAGCGGCAGGGGGTATTTTTATTTTATTTTGGTAACAATGTTTTAACATAAATGATGATGATGATGATGACTATTTCGCACAACC